AAGCAATTTGGAAACATTTAAGAAGAACAAGAGTCATGATGTTCTGGGAAGCTCCAAAGAAAAACAAGACATCGATGTCTCGCACTGGTGCAAAACATTCTGCGAAGTTGACCAACTCTTCGAAATGGTTCTCTGCTGCATACCACCTGGCAGCAAGGCCCTCATCTTTTGGTTCACCTGTTCACCTGGGGTCCCTGATTCCGTAATGCATCGAGCTTTGAGGGTAGTGATTTTGTAATCTAGGTTTTGTCTAAATATCTTGGGATCCCTGATTCTGTAATGAAATTGCACTGCAGCATTACAAAATCGTTAGTTTTTTCCAACCCAGGTTGAATGATTGAGATTTTGTATCTTGTTTGAGACCTCAGGGAGGTTGATTTTGTAATTGCGCTGAGCCATGTCGACAGAGAGCATATGATTTTGTAATCACTGTATCTTGAGACTGGGACAGTTGATTTTGTAATATCGGCTGGAGAGTTGTCCCTTGCCTGCGTCCTGGGGAGGTTGATTTTGTAAAGCTTTTCAGGTTGGCGAACCTGGGGTGGTTGATTCTGTAGCACATTTTCCTTACAAAATCAACCACCCCTACATACTCCAGAATTCGATGGGGGATTATTATATATAATATATATCGAATCAACATTCGATGGAGCGCACAGGAGGGCTGTGATTCCTCATACCCCCAAGGTCAAGCGCCCAGCTTCAATTTTGGGATCAAATGAAGTTTCTTCCATGAGAGACACATCGATAGGCGGTCGACTCTCTGACTTCGCTGAAGCCTCCAGTCACACTGCCTACATCATGTTGGACGCAGTTTGGACATCCAATAACTCCGCACGCACTGCAAGGTTCTGGACACATTCATGGGGAAAGCAGTGGAACTATGGCCCAAAGTACACTGGGCAACATTGCCCTAAGTACTTATATAGTGCCCTTCAGAAAGAACGGCAAAAGTTCTTAACTTGGGCCATAGTATACTGTACACTCTAAAAAGCAATGTTGTTCACTCCAGAAGCTCCAAAAGCCCTGGCCAGCTCAGACATGGTGATTGGCCGTTACACAGCTCGGAACACCAGAACCAAGCCGAGGGTGTTTTCTTTTGGGTGCACAGTTTTAGAAGGGGAAGCATGTTGTTATATGTTTTTTGTTTTTTTTTCATCCCTTTTTTCCATCCATGGAACTCTACTCCCATCGAAAGAAGGGGAAAAACACCGGTTGTTTTTGTTGTAAAACCGTTAAACCTTTGCTCTTTTCATGAAATGTCTGGTCCCCTTCTCCCATCCTTGCTCATCCTGTTCTCGTGAAAGATTTCTCCTCGCCTAGGAGGACGCCAGCACCGGCAGGGGACGACTGAGGCAGCTGGTCCGACCGGATGTTAAATTGGAAGTCTTCGACCCGGAGCGGAGGATGACGATTACGATCATTTCTAGAGAGTTCTAGGATGAGTGCGGACTTTGTTCAGATGATTTCATTCTTGCCATGAATATGTGGGGGCGGTGGAGTCTGAGGCAGCCAAGTCTGATCAACCACCACCAAAGTGATTTGTTCATCATATAAATCCAAAAGCAAGAGTCAGCGGACCAGCAGCAGAGCGTGGTTTTGTTTGAGCGATTTAGTCCGCACGAGTTGGGAGGAGGGAGACAGCCCAAATGAGGTCTTTCAATGTCAATGTCAGTACTGTTTGGACGCACACTGTTACACTCGGAAAACTCACTGTTTGGTTTCGTGGAGTGGAGTTCACCCCCTGATCGGTCTTCGCAAAATGGTCGACATTAGGGGGCCCATGATGGCCCATGGTTCGCATCCTCGGTTCCCATGTGATGTGTTTGTCGGTTCCCGTGGTGGTTCACCCACGAATGGATTCCATCAGGGGCTGGTGTTCAGAGCCAGCCGACCCGACCGGTTCCCTCGGGCCGACCACTTCTTTGCCCAACGAAATGCATCTGAAACATGTGTGACCTAACTTAAAGATGTTCTGTGCCAGGCTCTGGCCAGAAATGTTGATTTTATTTATTTTTTTTAATGATTTGAGTTGTGTTCTTTTTTACGGTTATGATTTTATTTATGTTGTGTTTTATGATTTAATTTATGTTTTCATTTCAGATTATGATTTCACTTATGTTTTTTTTATGATTGGCTTTATGTTATTTTTATACATTTTTGTTTAATTATGTTCAATGTTTTTTACTTATTGGAAGCTTTGTCTTTCTGTGTGTCAGCACATCAAACTGGGACAGAGAGAGCGTCCACCACCCCTTCCTGGGTCAAGGAGGTTAAACTGTGCTGCGCGATTGACCCATCTTCAATTCAAAGCGGCCCGTCCTCTGGACAGAGAATGGATTACACGGAGCTCCAATGACCAGGCAATGCACCTCTGGCGGTGGCGTCTGGGAACGTGGTGGAAGACATCCTAAGGATGTTGGGTGCAAGAAGCATGCCTCGCCATCAAGTTGATTCTGCAGACTGAAGTACTGGTGTTGCATACCAGGGTGGTTGGCCAACTGGAACTCACGGTAGCTGGCGCAAATGTCACTAGCGCTCAAGCAGTGGAAAGGAATCCCCAGCTCCTGAAGAGGGGGTAGTGGTGGCTGTTCCCTACACCTGAAGTTAAGTAAGGCACCATTAATCAAATTTACACAGTGGTTAGCCGCCCGCAGGTAGCGTCAGGTTTCCCGCTATGCTGTTGGACCGCATGATCTTTCAAAAAATACGAGGTCTTAGTCTTGGCAGTGGTTAAGTAGGTAGGAGGCAAGTAGATAGATCATGTCCTAGGTAGGTCCAGGTAGTTAGGTAAGTAGGCAGGTCGGTAGTCAGGTAGCTCGTAGCCCTTCTTAAACAACACGCCGCATTGAAGGTTGGTCAGCGCAGGTCCTTCAGCGCCACTCCTTCTGAAAAGGCCCCAGTGCAGCATGAAACCACGTTGATGGCATCTCCATACGGTGGGACCTGGAAATTCAGGCTGCGGGTGTGTTCGAGAAGCAGCTCTGCCTACCACACCCGCAACGGCGGATCTGATCCATCGGTTCGTTGGCTTGATTCGCCATCAGACTCAGAGTGCAGGGCTGCCGCCTCTTCCTCAACTTGGTCAGCCATGTCCTGGCGCCTACATAGCGCGGACACCACCGATCCCCACCCCGCCATCTTGCTTGAACCCCTTGAGTCCTGCGCATAAGCACCTCAAGAGCCCTGCACACAAGTGACAGAGAAGACGAATGAGGTAAAGAGGAAAACACAAAAAAACACAAAGGAAAGAAGCCTAGAATCATAGAAGGTTTGATTGCACATTGCTCTTGCCGAATGCCAGCTGTCATTCTCCCAAAGCAAAAGAAAGAGAAGCAATCCAAAACAAATCCTTGGCAAAAGTGCATCTCCAGAATTCATATGTGTTTCCATAGTTCTTTTCATGCGTTTGTCCCAGCGCGTATTTCTTTTCATAAAACAAAATGGACAAAATATAAACACCACATTTGTGTGAGAGGCTGCGTGAACGTCTCTAACCTAACTGATTAACTGATGCAGCTTCGACATGCAGGTATCAGGAAGAAGCAAAAGCCAAACATTGTTGAGGGCATGTAAAAGAAAAGGTCCAGGACATGGAGATGGTCCTGAAAATGTTTGCTGCAGGATGGATGTGAGAAACCTCGCAAAACTGGCTGTCCTGGTTACACTCAAAGTGATTTCATGGCCTTGACCCACCGACTAATTCCTGTACCTCTTTCCTTGAGTTTTCGACCACTAGCCAACCGGAGGGTGCCTGGCAAAAAACCATGATCAAACTCTGCCGTCTCTCTCTATGCTTTCATCTTGAGGCCAAGTCATGTGGAGACATGAGAGCAGATCTTGCTGCGCAACCACACAAGATTTGCTTGATTTGTAGTGCATTTGGAGCGACTCTGGTCGCAACTCTGAATTTCTCACCCAAGTGGAGAACGAGATTAGGTTCTGCATCTTGCAGGCGTCTTCAAACCGATGAACTCTCAACGCATCATAAGCACAAGCACCTATTTTATGTGTGTCCAAAAAGTAGACCATCAAGAACGTCTCACAATCAAAAGGCAGTTTGTCCACTTTTGTACTGGTGGAGCTGAGTGTCTCTGACATGTTCCGTAGCTGAACTGACAATCGTATGCAATCAAAAAGTGTACTCCAGGGAGATGTGTTCCCAGCTCCACTGGCTCTCCATTTACTCAACCATAGAGAAAGAACAGAACACCAGCCAACCTCCCAAATATATGTTTGTTGAGTGCATATAATAAATAAGCTACCTATATAGCTACCTACTTGATTAGCTACGAAAAGCACTTCTCACTCTGAACCATGAACCAACTGAGCACCCGAACAGAGCCACCCTCGCACTTGGGCGACCCTTCACAGGGGCGACTCTTAGTGTGGCATTACGCATCACTTTTGCTTTGATCATGCGTTGGTAAATTTACATATATATTATCGTATATGTACTTGTTCTCTGGAAATTGCGCACGTATACTTGCTCACCTTTTTGAGTCCTTTCAATCATAGATTTGCTATCCACCCAATACAGAATCGTCGCATCACTAGCAGCAGGGGTGATTCAGTGGTCTCGTCAAACCGTAGTGCCAGGTCAAGCATGTCAGCCAGTGGCTGGACTCAGATGGCACGCGTCCGTGACCTCGTTGGCCACGCCGAAGGTGGTGGACCGAATTTGAATGACGTGCCAATTCGATGCCCCACTTGATGTCCAAGTCTCGGAAGAAACGCCGAAATCGGATGCAGAAACGGTTGAAACGCAGAAACGCCGCAGATTGACGGCTCCAGCCTCGTTGTGGCATACGACCATGTTGAAAAGGCACAGTAAATTTATGTGACGCATTTCCGACATGTTTTTCGTTGATATATTTTGACATTAATATTCCGTACTGACATGAATATCCACAATGTGAAGGCAACCAAGCAGGTGATGGTTTGGCGATGTAGGTAGTGTCACGACCGAAGGTAGTATGATGTCAGCAAGTGCAATAGAACATTGGTGACACTCAATGCTTCGGTACCCCAAGCTCTGGGAATGGTGGCAGACACAACTGTGGACATCCGAGTCTACTGGAAGGCGAGCTCTGCAGAGCTTATAAAAAGTGACATTCTCTTGCACATAGACTCTTCCAGAGGCTAGGTGTGCAGCAAAAATGCTGGCTAAGGTGCACCACAGGCTGGACTTTATCTCTGGTGTCATTGACTTTGTGAACCAAACTAAAAAGGAAGAGCAGGTGCTGCACTACGGCTTCAGTGTGTGTGAAGGAGCTGCAGCGCTGATCGACAGAAACTCTGCTATCTGTTCCACTGTTTTGGTGCTCTCAGCTCAGCACCAGGAGAAGCAGTATGTCGGGAGGCGTACAAATCTGCGCAGGGTTTTTTGGACCACATTGAGAATGTTGATGGACCCATTCAGGCCATTACAGCTCCCTGGCAGCACTTGTGAGGCTTCAATACAATTTCTAGAAAGTACGTTACTTCTGGATTCTTTCATGTTCTTTTGCCTGCTTTAGGCTTCTTGAACTGTTTGTTTCTTTGTTTCTTTCCAATTCTCCGCACATTGAAACCAAACATTGATGCATCCGATTTGAGGAGAAGCGGACTCGAGTTGTTGGACAAGAACCCATGCCTGCAGCAGTCCTGTCCAAAGTTGAGGCCTCGAAGAGTCGAGAATCACGGCGATTTCGAGCGATTTCATCCATGGAATCCATATGGAATCCATGGCCCAAAGCCCAAGTTTGGTAGGTCTGACTGCCTCACAAAAAGCACCTCAAGTGCTGTAACGGATGAATCTGTACAGTGTCGTAGGAAAGGCTCAATTTCAGATTCTTTCAAAGACCAATATATTACTTAAATTGTATTTTTAGCCCTCTTCTGATGGTTTTTAGGAAGTTCCTTGTCCTTGAACTTGGGTCAGGGACTCAGGCTCTTCTTTCTCTTAGACGCAAATCACTGGGAGGTGCTGCACAGGATTGAACCCAGGGAGTCGAACGAGTCGAACCCAGATCGCTTCGTCCGTGCGAAGCACAGGTGTTTGGTCCCGCAGAGGAAGTGGCCCAGTTTGCTCAGCTCAAGGAGAAGGGCATCGCCTTACAGCCACTGGTTACCGAGTAGAGCACGCGAGTAGCTTGTCGTTTTGCAGGAACAGCGAAGAAGAGGTGGCCCTTTGAATGCTATATAGGGGTTCTTTAAGGGTCCGATTCCTGTTGTAAGTTGTAAGCATATAATGTATAACGATATTTCTAATATGATTAGATACTTGATTGAAACCTGCCTGTGGGTCATGGTTTGAGCATGTTTCACAGAGCAGTGACTGTTTTTTTCAATTGGTCGAAGAGTAATTTCGGACATTTCTAGTTTCTTTGTTCATCCGACAAATCCAGATGGACCGACCACTAGTAGAGCCAATCAGTTGCTGTTCATGAAAAGTCCAGCTCCAATCGATGTTTTTTCATGTGTTTTTTCTACATGGTATTGGAGTGACACAGCGTCAAAGGAGGAGGATGGATTGGTCTGGAGTTGGTTCTTCGAACTGTTCTCTTTGCGTTTCACAGACTGGGTGATCCTCTTTCCGCAAGACATGTGCAGTAGCTTATCATTTCAATTGTACAGCCTATTTTGGTGTTATAAAACAAATTGGTCGAAAGAGTCTTGAGTGCCTAGACATGAGTTGGCCTGAGGTGTTGGGAGATCCAGGAAGCTGTCTATGAGCTGAGTCAATTTAACTTAACGGAGAAGGATGCCCAGGAGATGCAACTGAAACTGAGAAACATGTGTTTGATGGACTTAAGCATAAAACAAGGCGCAGCCTGTGTAGAAACAACTCGTGAAAGCCTTTGCTACTCGATTGCAAGGACAACTCCATCACGTTGGTCTTGATGTGGTCATGCGGTAATACACCGAGCCTGTCTTTATTGTCTGAGGCACGCAAGCAGCAATTGGACTTTGTGCGAAACTATGTTTCATTATGTTTCCAATCATCAACATGTTCACCTTCACCTTCGGATTTCAGTTGTACAGACCACTTTAGAGCTACCAACATGTCCCTGCTTCTGTTCCAATGGCTGAAAATCAGGTGCCTTTCAGACGTGCAGCTTTCTCCAAGAATGAAAAGAGCATCTTGGGCAGCTTGGCAGCAACTAACAGGCACAATAGAAGTGACTAAGGATGCAGTGGTTGATGTACTGTTGTCATTTAGGGGTCTTCTTGGGTCTGGTGGGGAATTGATTTCGGTGTCTTTTGGAGTAGTTTGCGACTAGTTGGAGTTACTACGCTCATTCGTCAAGTCTTTCTCCAACTTTGGGCAAGGAAACATTGTTTGCAACAGCGTTGCAACCGCAGATGCTGCCCTTGCCGCTCTCCAGAAACTGGGTCCATTGGTGCGCTTGGAGGCCTATGGACATCGAGAAGATTTGGCCAAGCTGGCAGTCATAGGCGAGCCCAAGGCATCCTTGTGGAGCACACTGCAACTTGCCAGTAGGAGTGTTTTGTATCCCACAAAGCTTCCACTTTGTCCTAATTAGGTGTCTCTTTAAAAACACATTTCGGGTGCACAGCTTCAATCGCAGAAGCCTGAGGCACGGAGCCTTTTATGTGCCTGCGGGCTACAACAAGCTCCTGAGGCGGCGCTCTCTTTATTCGGAGGAGCGGCCGAACGGTCAATCGGCCACGGTGAGTCGGATGCTCAGAATTTCCGTTAACTCATAGACTACACCCCCCGCTGGTAGTCAATCTATCCACCAACACCATAAGTCTGGGGGTACAATGAGTCGGAGGACTCTCAGGGATGGTCAGTCGGATTGGTCCGACCCCAGCCATGGAGGGCCCAAAACCACGGCTTCTTCGGGTGGCTTCTTTCCGACCCAAAAACCACACGACAGGAGGATGACCCTTCGCCCACACGCGCTTTCCTGCGTCAACACAGCGAGTTTGGGAGTGGAACGGAAAGTCGCCCAGTGGAACGGCGGGCCATCACGTTGCAGCAATTGATGGACGTTGAAACCGAAGCCCGAATGCTCTGGGGTGAGAAGTACGAGGACAACGTGACCCTCCATGACATCAACACAGCCATCATCCAGCCTGCTTGTGCCAAACACGGCGTGCCCTATGCTTTGACTGTGAACAAAGAGCCCGGTCTTCATGCCACGATCTTCGTGACACATGCCTGGCAAGAAAACTTCCATGAATTTGTGGAATCCATCAAGGATGCCATCCACAACCCCAAATCTGTGGATTTGTACCTTGGCTGAAGGTTTTAACGTTGCTTTTTGACGGGGCCTTCAGTACTTTTCTTCCAAGCTGCCAGGCTGCACACCCTGGTTGCTTTCCGAAGTCACCGTTGTTGCGCTGTTTTTGATCGATGGTCTTTTCATGTCCAGACGCCCACCGTCCTCGACAGAGGCGCCTTTGCGGTGTTTCAAACCACGGACAAGACGCTGGTGTCAGAGCAGCTGGGGGACGATCCACGCCATGCACCCTTCACCCGTGCGTTGCTACGTGCGGAGCGCTTTCTGGCGGGCTTCAGAGCGAGTGCGAGAGATGGAGGGGGTTGTGGTGAATTAAAAGTTAGAGATCGACCGATTTGAAAGATTACTTCAAATGTGCTGTATGCCTCAGATGAAATCACCGCCCTGGCTGTTTCAACCGCAAAGATGGACAGGTAGTTCGAAACCGGACCACTGATATTTACACTCGGATTTGGTGCACCTTAGCCGCAATAAGAATATTGTGGAGAACGTCGACTGCACTTGACAAGCGGCGTGTTTGAAACGCCTTTGCATTCTCAAGGCTGTTGGGAGCTCTACATAGCCTATATCATGGGCTTTCTGACCAGTTCAAAACTGTCAATTACGGGCCCAAATGTCTTTGCAAATGTAAAGCACGATGTGCTGAGTGCTTATGCGAGTGACCCCAAAGACAAGGAGCAGATCCTTGCAGCGATTGAAGCTGAAGATGGGGCCCGTGAGCACATCAATTTCATCATCACTTTGCTTGACCTTTGAATCGCATGCGATTTCAAAAGATGGCGAGTTGCAGATCTCGTGTTGAAGTCCCCATGATTTGTATACATGTTGGTATTTGTTGTGAATTGTTCTTGAGAGTACCATGGAAATTTCAGTTCAATCGAACAGGTAGTCACACAAGGCCATCTAGAGGCTGCTCTTATCAAATCGTTTGAAAACACTTTGGAAAGTAAGCTGGTTTGGTTGGCGCACCAGTTTCAGTAATAGTCAGCTCCACCTCGTCTTAGCATGGAAAGATTGCAGTTGTTTCCAGCTCATCATGGACATTTCTGGCACCGGCAGCTTGTGGACGAGGAGGTTCAGCTAGCATTGATCGTTCAACAGACCTTTCGGAAGCTCCCTGTTGGGGACCAGAACGCCGGGTTTCGACTAGGATAGGAAGACAGCTGTTTAGGGAGCAGTGCGGCCGCGTTCAAACTATCCAGGATCTTTAAAAACGATCTGCCAAATCCACCTCGTCCATGCTTCACTCCTGCGGTTCATGAAAAGGATCCTAGACCTAATTAGCTGAGACCAAGCAAGGGAATTGCTGCAAGCAGAACTCAGGTTGCTGCGTGGTTGTTCCAGGACGACTGATACAAGGCGAAGGATCTTGGGAATATTTAGGAATGCTCATTACGTATATCTCTGGTGAAGGTAATCAGGCCTCACTCGATGGTCACGGTGTTAATTGCAAGAACTGTGCAAAAGCTTCGGCCTGAACTTGACCACAACGTTCCATCACTAGTTCGAGTGTGTGGTTGGTCATCGTGTTTGGGTGCGGCATCCCTTGCATCAGGTTTGCTGCGTGTCGGGTGTGTGGGTGTGTGACGAAAGTGGAACATCTTGACTTGTGATTTGAGTCTCCACATGTCTGCACGATTCTCCAATTCCAGAAGACCCACAGGCCCCCCAGCTTGGATCACAGCCCATTCTACTTAACCCTGCGGGGAACTTCACGCAGTCAAGATGTTTCACGATGTTTACACATGCAGTCACATCTAGTGCGACGGTTCATTGCGCTGCACTGCCACCTGGAAAGTCAAGGGTTCGGAACATTTGGCATGATGCGTTGGCAAGGGTGATCAAATATTTTGAGATGCCATGGTTTGTGCTCACATGTGCTAATGATGCCTATGGTCAGCCCATACATTGAAATATTTGTAGATTTGGAACTTCCAAGATCTTTGAGACATGCCAGGCGGCCGATCTGAGCTCTTCGAACGGCGACGCCAAGAAAATGAGGGCGCAGAGGTGGAGTAGCAGCTGTACTTTGCCACGTGAACAGAATCGAAGACATCATGTCATCATCGCATTCCGGCATTCCACAGGCACCACATTAATAATTTGCCAACCACAGACCTTTACAGTCAACTTGCCAAAAAAAACGGGTACACTTCACCGCAGGACACTTCCCAAGCATGACACTTCCACCCACCGCCGATTTCGCCATTTCACCTCTTCCCCTTTCGCCTTCCGACGCGACGTCGCGCCGCCTTCCTCCAGAGCCGCCCAAAGAAGGCGAGGGCCCGAGGAAAAAGTGTGTGTCCCTCAAAGCCCCAAAAGCGCTTGTGTCGCACACGAAAAGGTCGGTCGTGTGGGTCTGCCTGCTGGGTGCCAGGTTCTAACATGTTGAAACCCTAGGGGTACTACAGGAACCATCAGGAACCTGGACCTGGGATGCCAATTACCGCAGAGGACGACCATGGATTCCTCCCCTTCTGACATCCAAGTCCCTTGAAATCCGGTGGGTTCGGCTGCTTTGGCGTAGCACATTTGGGGGCTCTTAGAACAGTCATGTTGACTAAGACAGGGCGCCTACTGCCTGGATGGTCCATCATCTCCAGATGTTAGTCAATGTTGATCCATATTTAATATAATGTTGGTGCGTGTTGGTCAAACCTATGCTGGAGCTTTATTCATCAACTGTCAACAATATGGTTTGGCCAACGACCTCATCCAAACTGGTCTTGAGTGTGGGGACACGACCCTCGTGCGGGCGCCGACAGTGATCAGGAAGAGTTGCAGCCTTCTTGACGTTGGATGAGAAGAACTAGGGCCGGTAGCCTTGCGCTGGCAGAGACACAAAGCAGAATAGACAGCCGACAGCCCACGCAATCTTGTCTATAGGCCACAATTCTCATGCAAAAAGGTGGCAACATGTTCCAGTTCCAGTGCCCTCGTTCTTATAGTAGTGGCAATTTGTCCTGTCTCAGAGCATTCATTCTTCTAGGTGGAAATATGTATCATCCTACATAGTGGAAAGAGATGACTTCACAACTTGAGGACATCCATTTGTAAGAATGTATCGAACATCTGGGAAAAGCAGCAAGCTCTGCATAGTTGCCGACCACGGGCCTATTTACATCATGTCACTTGACCTGTACAAGCCGTAGCTGGACGACTTGCCCTTGTTGGAGCCTTCACACCCTTGGCATCGTCACAGGCGCCTCAGGCAGAGGCCAAGTGACGTTGCATTGTAATGTGTCGTCCTGTATTGTCGCGAGAAGACCTGTGCAGTTCAACTGCATCACTCACATTTGCCGCTTTTTTGAACCACCTGTCCCCTTGGATTGAACACACCTCAACGCAGAGCTGAAGCTGGAAATTCCGTGCGGCCTCATGGCGTCTGTGAGCCCTGCGGAGCGTGAGAGCTTTCAGCGGGACGGCTTTCTGAAAGTGGACGCTCGGTCGAGACCTCGGCGAGCGTCCTCGGTGTCCTCGGTGTCCTCGGATCATCTCGGATCGGTATGCCAGACCATAGCACTTGTAGTACATCCCAGAGCATCCATGGGACCGGACGAGTTACCTTCTGTTAAAGGGTCGTAAATCACTGTTCCATGGATGGCTTGGGCAGTGAGTTCCATAGAACATCCACGCATGCGACTGAAACGAGACCAATCCAAGGGGACTCCTGTGTAACGCAGTAGAGCAGCTTCGCACCTCGTGTCACGGATACAGCGTTGGCCCTTTGGCTTGAAAAGACCTCATACGACCTCATGGTGTTGATGGGGACTTATACTCTGGTTGTTATGAGTCATCAGTAATTTGTATTATATATTTCCCGTTACCATCACATTCTTCAGTTTGGTAGGCCTAGCACTTCTTGAGCATATTTTGTCTTATTCCAGCTCCACTGGTTCTCCAAATGAAGCTTTCGTCAGTTGTAGCAAGCGAAGGTTGGCCGTTTGAACTATGTGACTATGTTTGGAAAACTCTCTCTCTCTCTCTTTCTTTCTCTCCTGCCTTTTGTTTGACCCCAGCTTCTGAGGAGAAACTCATCAGTGTGGAGCAAGCCAAAGAGCTTCGCGAGCATTATGAGGAGCTTTTTCAAGGAAAGTTCCCCACAGGCCTGGCTCGGTGATTTGAAAGCTCTTCCTGGAACCCCTCGTTTGGCGTTAGTGCATTTGTCTTACTACACAGCAAGGCGGCTCTAGCAGGTGACCCTCCAGACCTGTAAGTAAGTGCTGTAAGGCTCCTGCTTCCTCCTTGGTCAGAGTCGACCTTGGATTAGCATGTTAGATGAAGTCATATGTCCTTCCTTTAAGAAAGAAATATACAGTAGCAAGGAATGAATACTCGCTAGCTAATTAAAACAGACAGCTGACAGACCCTGGGGGGTGTTCCTCTCCTCTGCAACTTCCGGAACTGCCCTCCCGGACTCGCAAAGTCGTCGACGTGGTCGACGGAGTCCGGCGGGAGTGTCAGCTTCTCTGCTCTTTGTGATACTCCCAGACGCTCATGGACCTCCCCTCCCAAGTAGTAGGGACCGGGACCGAATCCTCTGCAGGGTCCGGACCCTCAGATCCCTATAGGTTTTGAGGCACCAGTCGCCTGTGAACGGAGCGTTTGGGCTGGTCAAACAAAACGACCTCGTAAATCTTCGGTGTGCTGTGGTGATAGAAGGCACAGACCCATGGGGGTCCATATAAACCACCGACATTGGAGTCTGTACCATCTACTCTCAATCCTCGCGCTATACCTGAAGATCTTGTTCCGAAGATTTGGAGGTGCAGTGACACTCTGCGTGCCTCCGTTCGCGTCCATGTGCGTCCATGCGCGTCCGAGCGCACGTCGCAAGGCATTTATCCGGATGAATGGCATTGGCGGGAAGGAATCTCAAAGCCAGACAAGTTTCGGGAGATTGTCAATGCGTGGAGACTTGGCATGTATTTTCCATGACTGCAGCGGTATTATCAGCATTATCAGCCATGACATGTCACCCTTAGATCATTTGTTGCTTCAGGTCTACCGGCTCAACACCTTCTTCAGAATTCTTCAGGCCTACCAGTTCTTAACACTCCAACTGCTTCCCTGTTGAGAACTGGTTCGAACCACCGAACACGCCCTCCGAACGACGCCCTCGTTCGCTTCCACACGCACCGAACACACCGAGGAAGTCTTCGCCCTTGGTGGCCGCGGTGGCCTTGTCACCGGACGTGGCCCAAGTGGCTGCGAGCCTCATGGGCTGGGAGGGAACTCGCTTGGCGCAGGATGACGTGCTGTGGAAGCCACCAGGCGGTGTCGGGAAGGGAGGTGGGAGGAACAGAAGATGCAGATGAGTATTCACACACCGTGCTCCAGTATAGTGGCCGGTCTTTTGGCGTGTGACTCTCAAAGCTTGGCATGAAGCTTCGGCCTTTGGTTTGGACAGATTTTCGATGCATCCAACAGCTTCATCCAACAGCATGGCTGGTGATGAGAATCTTCATTTTGGGAGTCATATGACTATGCAAGACCATACAAGATCTATGATGTTGAGACAGGGCCAAAGGAACATGGGGAAGTGGAGAAATGGATTGTCGCCCTCGCCACTCAAAGCTGTCATTGGAGTTGCGCAGGTGCGAGTGGTGTGGGCTATCACCAAGACAGCGCGTCAGCTTGTTTGCATTTGGAGTTAGATTTTGTTTGTTGTTTGATTGGAGTAGGGCATGTTCAGAAGACGCAGCAGGTAGTTGGCAGGTTTATCAGGCATTGATTCCCTAATTTCTGCGCTGGTTTGTCAGACATTTTAGGTACACGGACTTGGATGTTTGTTTTGTTCCACCTTCCAACCCACAAGGGTCACTTTAAGACCAAGAGTTGCCAGAGAATTTGCTCAATTAGACAATGTTCTCCATATGTTTTTCGTCCAAAACAAGGCGCAAAACGTCCCACGTCACGTTGCGCGTGGCACCGCGTGGTTTTTGTGGGTCTGACCGCGCCTGGCGCGGCGCACTGGCGCTGGGCTTGGGCTTCGTCAGGTATATCTCCCAGAACTTCCGTCCCCTGGAGAACAACTCGGTGACGGTGTGGATCGCGCTGGACGATGCAGATGAAGAGACTGGAGTGGTGACTGGAGTGCAGCACGTTCCGACATGCGCCGGGTGTGGCATGGGAACAGGTCCATTTGAGAAGGAAGGTAAGCCAGCCTACGTAATGATGGTCGATTAATCTGAAGATATCTGAAGGAATCAGTTTGTGGTTGTTCAACTGCTGTGACTTTCAGCTAGCAATTTGCTAACATTTGTGGGTGTTCAGCAGCTGTGCCGCTAGCTACAGAATATCGTTACATAATGTTTGAGGCTTTGTAAGTCTAGCCCTTCCAGCCTCCAAACACAAAGTGTAGCAAATTGCCTTTTTGTTCCTTTGCATCAGAGTTTGGCATGTTGTTTTTTGTTGAGAGATGTGCTTCTGGTGGAAAGGTTTTATCAACAAAACAACTATATATACCCTTGGATACTTGATGCCCCAACTGCACTAATTACGAAGACCATAGCTTGAGGCTGAGCCTCAATTAGTTTACAAACACTCATGAACGAGTTGCAGCGCGAGCGAGTGAATCGCGCGCGGATCCTCAACGGTGTTGCGGAAGTCCACCTGAAGGAACTCGAAAAGGGAAGGGGATGTCCGGAGGTCCATTTTTTGTTCAATCGACACAGCTGACATTGACAGGACGTGACACCTGTGACATGACATTGAGCGGTTGGTTGGATTTGTGGTTTCCCGATCAGTATGAGTAACTGAATGTCACCCTGCAAACTTTGTCGAGTCATTAGGGATGAGTCTGATCACGCCAGATGGTTGAAGTTGCCAAGGTTTAGGGACAATTTGGGACCTGATGGGCAAACAAGAATCATGCAACGTCAGTCATATTTGCGCAGGATGTGTATTTTATCGTGCATTGAAGTATCAGTATCATTTTCTTTGGATTATATAACTTGTTTGGACTGCTTGTAAATTGCTTGTACTTATATACTTTGTGTTGTGGATCCTTTTGATTGCAATTTGTGGAAGAGTGTAGGCAACCAAATCTCGTGATCCAGCAAATCTCACCCACATCCTAGTATAGAGGCTTGTTGATCAGCAACTAAAATGAACATGACAAAACATGTATGACCTTTGTCTCTTTATATATGGTTACAGAATGGTGGTGCATCGCCAGTAGGCCTACTCAGTAGGCGCTTTAAGAAACGACAGCTCGGAATATGCTGCCTAGGTCCGAACGCGACCTACTCTGGTCGTTGGTTGTCGGTCCCTCACCCAGGTGGAATATGCCGTGGGCTCCCATCGCTGGCCCCTCCACGACGACTCTGCCACGACGTCGTCCTTCCACGGAGCCGACGACGAGCGGCTCGGCGGCGCGAGGGGCTCGGCGGTCGCGAGCCGCCCAGCTCGGAGCAGCTGATATTGGAAGGGTCTTTCTTCTGTATGGAGAAGGGGAGCACACCCCAAAGATCGTTTTGAGGAAGAGCAAGCCGGTTAGACAGATTCTTTGACACGGGCTTGATTCGTTGTGGGCTTGTTAAGCAGAAAGCCCCTGTTTGGGATTGATGTGTGAGGTGCGGCTGGCAAAAAGTGTCAACTGATCGCGTTCGTCAACCCAACGATGTGACACCAACTATGATTCCTTAGTGGATGTCGGCTGGTGGAATGAGGTTCCTGTTTTCGACAGGCATTCTTTGAAACTTTCCGGGAAAAAACACAACAACAGAGAAACACTGGGGTGGTGAGTCAAAGTTGGGACAGATGATGACACATGTGTAGAGCTGCAATTGTTTGCTTCATCCACTCATTTTGGGGGGATGGTTAAGTTTGTTGATCAGGGCTGTCCAACAGAGGCAAATACAGTGGCAGTCGGGTACAGCCACACCAACCCTCTTGTTTCACCAGAAAAGTCCCCATCCGAATATTTTGCCCGTTGATACATACATGGACATCGATTAAGCTTCACCTCCAATAGAACAGCCACTTTTACGCTCCTCCACCATAATCTTATTTGGAACAGAGCCGCGCAAATCTGCCAGGATCAAGGTCTTTTGGCCTCCAGAAACCGCCCATGAAAGTAATTGCGCACTCGCTGGTCACGACTCGTGACAGTCACCCGTTTCTTTGGAAGAAGATCGACACAAATTATAGTATCGGTGTTTCATCCCGTTCATGGCACAAAGAAGTACGTGTTTTTTGTGCAAAACAGCTCTTAACAACGTTAACCCACATGTGATTTTTGTATTTTCCGGATGAAACTCGTGTTCTTGGCCAATGCTTTCCTCCCTTGCCAATGTTCCCTTTGAACCTTGTTCAACGATGCATTTTGACTACGAGTGAACTGAATAGATGGCAAAGACGCTGCGATCGCTTGACGCAGCTTCTACGACGAATCAAGTTTCCACCATTGAATAGCTTCACACTCGGCGATGCAGTGTTTAGACTCCCGCTGAAAGCCATAGGTCCTCCATCAGGCTGCCCTAGGCAAGAAGACATCGAGTATTTTAATGGTTTCTTTGACGGAGATGGGGCGTTACCATGACAAAAGGCAGTGGACAGATGGTCCTGCATATTAGTCAGACTATGGACTCTGCAGCGGTGTTGATACGCTTCCGTGACAGTTTCGGTGGTGGCATCTATCGCGAGAAGTGCCAAACAGGAGCACACAAAGCAGTGCTGCAATGGACAGTTTCAGGCACAACCATGCAACACGCAGTGTGTGCGCTGTGCAAAGTTTCTTCCATGCAGTTGGCCCAACTCCAGATAGCAGCAACTGGCAACATTGCAAAGCCAGACAGGAGTGACGTGGCACAGAAGTTAAAACTGTTGAAGCAGAAGAATCATGCTCTATTTTTCATTATCTTTTATTAGCAAAATATGATGGGTTAGTAATTTATACTTTATATCTTTGGGATGCGATATTTTATAAATAATTCCCTTTTCTTTAATTTAAAATATCGCATCATAATAATAATCTCTTTAAAATATATAGGTGGGCCAGAGACTACATGTGCCTGCAAACTTTGAGTGCTCCTGGCCCTACTTTGCTGGTTTCTTTGATGCCGAGGGCTCGATTACTGTTCCTGGAACTTACATCGGGCTTCACCTTGCTGTGGCCCAAAATAATCCATTTGTTCTGAAGGAATTGCATTCCTTCCTGCACAAGCATGGGTTGAAAAGGTGGACACTTTTGTCCCAGAGTGAAGGTCCTTGCAGACTCGTGTGCACGGACCTTGCAACTTGCAAACTGACGCTGCAGCGCCTCCTGGATGCTGGAATTGACCTCAAGCAGAAACAGGCGGCTTTAGCTCTTTCCCTCATGGCGGATAATCACAAACAAGTTCGTGAAGACATGCTTGCATTGAATGGCCTCCAAAATAAGTACAAGCGTCTTGACGACGAAGGCATCAAGCGTGCGAAGGAAATTAGAAGGCTCGGACAATCCTGGAATAGAGCCTCCTCCCAAGAGCGTGAGTTGTTGCAGGTGAAGCTCGAAGGTCTTCGAGAAGAGCACAAGTTGCAGAACTTGGTCACCAAGTGCATGCGCCTGCGACAGAACATTCGCCAATCGCTGAGAGAAGGTGGTGCCGTTCTCCCACTTTGATTAAAACATATTAAAACCAGAAACGCAAAGTCAATCCAAAGATTCGATGGCTGTGCATGCAGTTCAAAGGCCCTTTAGTTAACCTTCCTTGTGAGGCCTGAAGCATCTCACCTTGGCATCATAGATGCTTCATCACCAGACATGAAGGACACATCCTTCAAGAGTGCAAAGGCCATGCGGCCATGCGATGCTGTTTGTGCGTAGATGACCCCGTTTGTACCCCTAGTCGTTGTAGAGGCTCTCTCCTGACATTTTCCATCTCTGATTCCATCGCAGAGCAAATTCACTGAGTTCCTCAAGGTTCCATAGGTTGCCCACCATCATTGTATTGCAAGCTAGCAGGGGGCTGCGAAGCAACAGGTTGGTCGGAGGTTCTTTTGCGCGGACGAACCGGTGAGACGTTTTGTGTTGTGATTTGTTGTTGTTTGGATTTGGTCGTGTCATTCTTCAATTAGGGGGCTAGAATTCTTTAGTCTCCAGCCACTGAACCTCACCCAGGTTTGTACAGCATCAGGAGTGTGATGGGCTTCAATGATGTGGAATTATGAAACCCACTCAATTCTAGTTTCTCCCAACCTTAGATCTCGCTCCAAAACGTCTTGGGAACCCGGTGCCAACCTGTCTCATCTCATCCCCTATCAATTGGCCAAGATGCAGACCTTCAAGTACAATTATATTCCAAACTGGCAATGTCACCTTTCATTTCCCAGCTGATCAACCATCAGAAACCTTGGTGTCAAATGAATTGAATAGTCCGTCAGAGGACGTCAGAGGTAATTTGAAAAACACGACTCCCGGACAACAGTGGTCAACTAGTTCCTGTCAGCATATTTGTTGAGACATACCTGTGCTCCTAACAGATTACAGACTAATCCGTTCAATAACAAGCATGGCAGCATGCTCTCGAACCGTGACCATCCAAAAGCCGCAACGCAAACAAATCTTTCCCGCGGATTGAGACTACGGTGAGCTACCGATGCTTCTCTTGAATCTGGATAGTTAGGAGAATGTGGCCTATCAGCTTCATCCCCCGCAGACTCTAGACCTTTAAGTGGGCGATGTCAGAGATGATGGGGATTGTCAGGTGCTGAAGCGTACTGATCCACCAATTACCCATTATGAAGCCAACACTTCACTCTCCGGTGCAAGAGAACAAGGATGAACACCAAGGACGACAAGATGAAGTCACGCCTTGAACATATATAACTATAAAAGAGATGTCCAAAAGTGTCACACCTTTGTGCGATCTTTTGGATCAATTCCTGAGATGTACGCTTTCTCATTCCAAAAGATCGCACCAAATAAATCACCACTCAGGTGGGCACCCCTGCGCCACGCCGCCGAGCGCGCTGGCGTTGGTCCTCCGGAGATCCGGCGCTTAACAGTGCCGCTGGGGGGCGCCGTGTTTCATCACCAGGCAGGGCACGGCGGGGTTTTCGTGTTGAGCAGTGGACGGGAGTGACAGAAGAAAGACGGGGAGTTGGGCTACGGTAAGATGGTAACGCCAAACCTTATAAGTTATAAGGTGTGGTTTGCAAAAATGAGATATGCGAAAGGATCCCGTAGAAACAACATCACACAAGCGGTCTCTCCTTCAAGTTGCGCCCCTAGACTCCACCACATCTGGGGGTGTAAATAGGGAGACTGAACCCCCCTGGGTTTGGGTCGGTGAATAGACCAGTACACCAGTCTACCATCCAAAACCCAGAAAGGACCAATATATATATATATATATGTATCCCTTTGTTGTTCCATTAAAATACACAACCACCATCAACCGCCATATTGGCCCAATGGGTTGCGTTGTTTATATATTATATTATATTATATTATATTATATTGAAGAAGAAGTAACAAGAATACATAACCGACAAAAGACTATATTGCATTTCTAAGCTTCCAGAAATGGTCTCCCTTTGTTGTGCAAAAATACAACCACCGTCCCAACAAAGGGAGACCACACCCAACCAAACCCAACCACCATTCCGAGCACCAGTCTCACCGGAGGACGTGTGGCACGGCTCCGGCCGCAACCGCTCGTCGCACCGCCCGCGCCGAGCGCTGGGCGTTCATTTGCTGAAGCGCCGGGAGACCGAGGAGATCCAGATTTCGAAGCTGAAGAAGAGCATAGGTTACTTCTCTCTGTAAAAAATACGGCACAGGATATCGTAATTTGTTTGTGTATTTTCCAAGGTTATGAAAGAAGTAAATACAGTTAAATACACCTCTCCATTGTTCTAATGTCGTGCTACAGCCATGTTTGTTGTTACTTTGACAGGACAGAAGAATTGTTTCCCCGCCAGTTGAGCAGTGATCATGTGTTTTGTGGTGTTTTGATGTGTTGGTGCTCTACAACAAAACAACCATTCTCCTCAGCCTGCCTGGAGTGCATCAAAGAGTGTATATACTAAGTAGAATATTTTTTTTGCACACAGCGGTACAAAGAGTCTACCACAGACCGTGCGAGTGGGAGAGTGTACCATTCAGCCACCGTATTTGTTCACAGCGGTCTCCAGATGTTTTCCTTGTGGGGGGGTGGATCCAACCACACCCGCGCGGTCACCTGTCGCACGCCTCAGCGGACCATCAGGTGACCTGGTTTGGCGCCGAGAGCCGCGGCCCGTGGCCCAGCAGCAGCTCGAAGGGTGCCATGTTGTGATTTCTGGGGGACAAGCAGACCTGCACAGCCTGAGCATGAAAGTCCTTCATCCCTGTGGTTTCTCTTTCCTGACCAACCAAATCTCCTGAATGCGGTGGGTCATTTGCGGATGATTATGACTCTTATGATCCATAATGAAAGATCAACATGTATAATATAAATAAGATGTGGCAGCAGTTTGACATAATTATTCAGCAAGGCGGGTTCTTCTCATGTTGCAAACCTGTTTCAGCAATCGAGTGCTTGGACTTCGTCAAGTACATTTGAGACCGTAGTTAGAGCTACTTGCCTGTTTCGGGATTGGATTCATTTCTGGCACCACGCTTTGAACTGGCAAGGTTGTTGTCCCCCTACTTCATGTTTGATCTTATTGCTTTCTTCTACGTCAACTCTTGACAAGGGAGGCCTGGTATACGTAGAACTACAGCAGCAGTTGCTGACACTTTGAACAGTTGCTGCCTCCCTGGAATTGAACATATCCCTCGTAAATGCGTTCAAAACGAAATGTTATCACCATTTCTCATCTCATCGTCTGCCATTGGGTGCGGGTCGCTTCTTTCGGAGGACCAGGGGTGTCCGATGGACAGAATGTTAGAAAATCAATCAAATGCTTGATAAAGTTTGGGGAAGCTTTGCTGAAGCAGGGGAACGCATATGTTTTTTCTGTGAAATCTCCTGTAGAACAACATCATGAACGCTGAGGACTACATCTATGGGCGCTACATGCTCAGTGAAGACTCTGAAGAGGTTTCTGAGCAGTTCTTCCCTATCACCTGGACACCCTCAGGCGCGAGCTGGGCCAGCTGAACGTCTAAGAGCCTACAACATGACCCTTCAGAAGTCCAAGTCTGAAGGAAGAGGAAAGTGTCCATGGACACTTCAGATATACTCAGAGGATATATGACACTATGACACTTCAGATATGTGGAAGTCCAAGTCTGGGTTGAGTTTCACAAGACACTTCAGATATCATACATGAATGAGCTTCTCTGAAGAGTAGGGGTGGCCTGGATCTTCAATCAAGCAACGACATGAGAGTATATAACTTGTTTGTCAAAAATGGGGCATATCAGAAAAAGGTGCATCTGCATTTCATGAAAGGTTTAACTTTATACATAGAGACCACCAAATAAATAGAAAAGTATATAGATCCCCACTAAGAATGTCTTGGAAAGCGTTTCTATCTATCTGCGGACCACTCTAAGGCAGAGCTTTTGTGCTCCAACCAGCTTTTGACCTGTCCCCACCAGGCCATGATGGAACCAACGAGTTGTGGTGTGGAGATCGAACCACTTGAGTGGTCTTAAAGCTGGATATGTCCACTGTGACAACTCCCTACTGCATCCCTTAAAAAGATAGATCCGCCCTTAACTTGAAGCCTTCCTATCCTATCCCTATCCATAACTATCATTCCCTATTCTCAACTGTATCCTTCCCTTCCTATCATGTTCTATCCATAACTTGGACACAAAGAGATGTGCGCTGTGGGGCACTGTGGGGCGCCCGGACACTTTCTCCTGCGCTGTCTCGTTCTGTCCTTCAGAGCTGTCATGACCAAGTGATTGACCCAAAGAGGAGTTCATAGTCACTCACTCACATGCAAGTGGAAAATGAGCCGGAAGACCAGGCCATTTTGCACTTCCATGTTCATGAGTCGGAGTGTAATGTTCCACGTTTCATGACATACAACCAAGTTTGGGTGACCAAAGCAGTTGGTGGCCGTTTGCTTGAGTCGTGCGGTGTTATCGATGAAAGGCCAAACTGTTTGGCAAACTGTTTGTTTGCTGAGGTTACACGAGCCCTGTGGTGCGTCGCTTGCTGAAGCCAACGAACAAGAAACCACGACTCGAGGTGGGCTGCAGGTTTGAAAGTGATGGAATCATTTATACATATTATTTAATCATATTTATACATGACTCACAACTGGGTTTGGAAGCAAGCAAGAAGATACAGCCCAAGAAGCACTGAAAGCGAAGTACATGGGTTACATACCCATATGGGGTGGATTGGGCCGATGGCACTACCTGAACATCAATCACCTTTGGGACGGGAACGCCAATTCTTTGAGTTCAAGAAGTTGATTCGCCTTCTGGAACGCCTGTGAGCGTGAGCAGCATAGATCATTCTGCAGCATGTCCATGCACTTAGCACTCTGAGGCAGATGGGATGAAAAAGGCCTGAGAGCCGCTTCAGCAACTGAACCAGTAATGGATTGAGATAAAACGGGTGTTCTGCTGCGATCTGTGACAGACTCACAGTATCACTCTTTGATCCTTTCTGAACCAACGTTTTGCGGATCCTTTTTTTGCTGACATGCTGGAGAGAAGGCCAAATATTGGCGAAGAATGCGGCGGTTCAAACATCAAGAAACCATGGCGCGTTCATCTTCATGCGACTGAGTCATGGCTGTCCGTGGCTGTGCCAAGATCAAGAAGAGTTTCTTGCCATGGAATGTCTAAGCAAGATAAGGCTAAAAGAACAATGTATGTTTCAATCATGCAGCCTCTATGCAGACATACAGTCGTTTTTCTCTTGTACTCCTGCGGTTTGTTTAGTTATATCTCATCCAGAAGCCTCAGAATCAGAAGGGCATCAACATGAAAGTCGTCTCCAGGACTTTCCTAACAATCCAGATAAACCCTGCAAGACTGCAACCAAAAGCAGGCTCTTCTTGGTTTTTGAAAACCAACTGCTAAGTACTAATAACCGTGAAGACCATGGACTACAATCTCAAACATTATCCCCTGGCCGTGTTTGGCTCACCCAAACATGCAGCAGACGCTCAACCAGGATTGATCTATTTGGACCCAATTCAGATTGTGCCATGCCTTCGGGATGCCTGCGCCAAACATGCAAAGGAGCCCAATGACACACAGTTGTCGAATATGCCTTTGGGGGTTGAACGATCGTTGCCTCCACAAGCATCCATTGTTCCTTTCCTGTACACTTGGCATTGCTTTTCGTTGGACCTTGAGCCTTGCCTTGCTTTGTTCATTCCTTTTCCTGTGTGTTTCTTCACTTTTTCTTTCTGTGTGTCCTTCGTTCCCTCCTTTATTTTTTTTTCAGGTGACTGGGCTGGCCTCCCGATGTCGATGTGTTTCGTCAGGCCCTCAATAAAGCTGACGACTTTGTAGGCTAGAGTCTGAGACTATAGCAATGTATAGCACAAAGCCCGGCCGAATGATGATCCAGCGGGAAGATGGGAAGATGAAATGGCTGTGGGTTGCACCCGGAGCCCCCGGTCACGAGGGTAGGTTGACCTGTTGACCTCCCAGGTAGTCTCTTCGGTTCATTTGGAATGGGAAAAACCGGTCGCCCCTGGTGCCATGACCAATGGAAACCGCGGGTCGACCTGCCTCGGCGCCAGGATCCTTCCGGCGGGCCGGGTCAGCCTGTGCCTGTTGACCTTGTTGGAAAACGGGAAAGGCGTCCAGGAAGGCCCAGAAGCAACCCAAAACTGACACGCGATAATGATCGATGTAAGGCTGTATATGATGAAGCAACCACGAGAGCTCCAAGACGATGTGAGAAGGCAGTTTTTGGAGCCCATTCTGAACCCTGTGAAGCTCATCATCTTGTGATGTTCCAAACATCACCGTGTGCCAGCATGGAGCCAGCATGGCTCTACAAGACGATGTTCGGCTGTTGAACACGGCCTCGGCGCTTCACCCAGCTCACAGCCGTTTGAACCCTACACCTCCAAGTAAGTACCTTTTGTAGTTAGACCCCCATGCCCACCCCCAACCACCTTCCAAGGATGTGGTAAGGGAGCTAGGGAGATATTATCAAGGTTTTCAACTGTTGCGGTGTTCGTCTTGATGGGTCCTAGCAACGCATGCACATGCTTCAGCTGAAGCATGTCGGTTGCATTTCCCAAAGGACGGACTGGTCCAGCATCGATGATATATGTTTAAAGCAGGTATCGCTTTGATTCCTTCTCGGCTTACGCCTAACAGCCGGGCGCCGGCCCACTAGGGTCTGTGTAGGGCTGGGTCGGGTGCACGTGCAGCTATCGGGGGCGTACTGGGCCCTGGGTGGGCCAAGGTGGGAAACTGCTCCTATGTTGGGCACATCTTGGGCCCATGTGGTCTATGTTGGGCACATCTTGGGCCCATGTTGAGCCTATGTTGAGCCTATGTTTGGCCTATGTTAGGCCTATGTTGGCCTAGGTTGGGCCTATGTTGGCCCCATGTTGGCCTATGTTGGCCCTATGTTGAGCCATCTTGGAGGCTATGTTGGGCATATGTTGGGGATATGTTGGCTATCTTGGGCCTAGGATATGTGAGGCAATTTAAGCAGTTTGGAGGGCCTCTACCCACAAAATGTCGATTAAGCCTGTCCGCCCGGCGCGCATTACCGACACCACCCTTGAAAAACACAGCGTTTTTGCATTTTTCCATCTTCGCCGCGTCGCGCTTCGATATGCGCACTGTAAAGCACAGTGTTTTTTATACTTCACACACACGAAGCACCGTAAATTACAGCGACTTCAGTGACCCGGAGGTCCCCCGTTTTGGGCCCGAGGGTCGGCGGCAGGGGGATAGCAGAAAGCAAATGCGCCCCCAGCCGTGGGACCCAGAAAACCCAGTGTTTTTGACGTTTTTTTTTTCGCGCTTGTTGCTCACGATGGGCCAACGTAGCCCAACATAGGCCCAAATAATGCTGGAAATGCTTGCCGCACCGGAGTGCTTCGTTTGCATCGTGGGCGGATGCTGTGCTAACATGGGCCCAAGCTAGGCCAACATGGTCAAGCTGAGCCAACATGGGCCCAAGATGGCCCCATAGCCCCAAGACCGCGCAACAAAGGCTCCAGATGGCCTAAGTAGACCCAAGCTGTGCGCAACATAGCCCCAAGCCCGCCCAATCCCTCAGCCTGCACCCGCACCCAATCTTCCACCCTCCAGCCCCCTACCTCAACGCCCCTGGCCGGCTGTCGGGCGTAAGCCCTTAAATAACCTTCGGTTACCACCGAAGGCCCTCCGGGCATGCCACGGGCGCGTGGCCGGCGCCCGGATTTTCCCAAGAGTATCACCATGTATAACCCCATGTTGATGTTCTATGCCCTCATACAATTCTCATACCACGGCACTCGAAAATGGTCACGTCCTGTTTTGTATTCACACCTCATTAGCACAAGAATGCCCAAACATGACCCATGGGACTGGCATGGACTGGCATATGATACCCAACTAATGGACCCCGGAAATTCCACCACAACAACTGATGGGCCCCCATAGGTCGCGGCATGGAGTCTCTGGGAGCCTCGAAAAACCCGACCGATGGCATCGCTGGCGGATCCTCGGGCCAAGCCCCCCACCGTCTTCGGATCGCGTTTCGGTCCCTCGTCGTGTTTGTGAAGCCCAACGAAGACGTAGTAGGGTGACTCTGAGTACCCGAGTGATCAGGGCTCTGAGTACCTGTTCGCCAGGGCTTTGCCGCCGTGCATGTCGTTGAATGGCGCCGGCGCCCAGTTGTTTGACCTTGTTGGTCGTGTGCTGAGTTGTGCAAACGCGAAGTGACTTCCAAGTGGAAAGGGAAGAGAGTTGTATATTTGCTTGCCTTTTTGCCGCAACAGACATTTTTAAGGGAATGATGATATCTTCAAGACCAAAGAGCCTATATCAACGGCTACAAGTACAAGCGCGATATTAATTCATTTATATACATGAAATCAAATTATATAAGTACACGTGTTCTGGCTGGTGGTGGAGTAATTTCCCTATTTTTGGATGCAGAGCGGCCACATGGGGAGCGCTTTGTGGCAGGACTTGGCGGTCCTAACTGGGTGATGGTGACATCCCTTCCCCAAACTAGATGTTTTCTTTATAATATAGTGGTGCTTTTGTAGGTGCAGATGTTTTTTTATCATCATCATCTCTGGCGTTTGAATATCTCACAGAGTGTATCACGACATCCGCGACATCCGACGTCGAGACGTGAGGAACACCGTCTACCAGATACGTGCGCATATCCGACATAAGGCACGGCACAGCTCCACCGCCTGGGCAGGGATGCTGTGAGCATAGCCAATACATATATATATATAGTATATGTATCTACTCCTTCAGATGCCCCCTTATAAAATGGAGGACTCGATCATGTACAAATGGAGGACCTTCGGAAGGGGTATGCCAATATGTTAAGTGGAAGTGGCTCCAAGAAAAGAATTCTCCTAGGAGCAAGGACGCTATACTAGGGGCTCCCGGCCATACTACTAGGAACAAGAAGCTACTAGGGGCTCCTGGCATCGCTAGGAACGGAGCTTTTTCTCGCGGGTTGATTCCAGCTAGACCCAACAGATCGCTCGAAAGGGGTTGTGAGTTACCCGAGTCAAGTTCTGCGAGATGCCTAGATGCTGCCAACACCATTGATATATAGATTTACAAACAAAACACATGTGATACTCATGTCAATATCCATCTTGTCCATCTCTTCAGTCCGTTGCTGCAAGCTGTTTTTCCTTGTATGTCCGGTCCTACGTACTGCCGTCTTCCGCAGGCCGGAGACCAGAAAGTGGAGGGTGGACCCTCTGCGACCGCCGAGGAGCCGTTGGATTTCTCTCGACAATTGACATCTGAGGATCAGATCAACAGCAAAGTCGGGTTTTAGGGTAGAATTGCTGAAATAGTAAGAGCAATTGTCCTGAAAATTCACTACCAAGCTGGTGTTTGTTCGACTTTTGTTTGTCAATTGGAGTGTATGCACCTTGGATTTGGATTGACCTTAAATGTGGGAAACCACAACAAGAAGGCATGGTCAAAGAGATATTCCAGCTTAATTGGTCTACTCCAGTTGATTGGGACCTGGATGGATTTGGAATTGGAATGTGTTGACAATTTATTCAACAATATTCAACCCATATAATCCAACTATATAGTCCCTTTCCTTTTCCGGTCTTGCCGCCACCTGTCACACATCTTTGAATCAAAAAAAGGAGCCATGCATGCTTCCCCTCACGGTGCGGTGGATCTGGCTGCCAGCAGATCAAGTGCTATACCAAAGCTCACCTAGAACTTAGTTACGGAGTTACTAAATAAGATCAGAACTTGGTGTTGGTAAAGTTCAGAACTTGGACCAATGCCAGGAACTGACCAAATGCTGGCTTGCTACGCTGAAGGCCGAGACATGTTCTCGCTTCGTCTCGGGACTCAAGTGGACTCGGAGCAGAGCGTTTGAGCGTCCACGTCAGTCGATGAGCCAGGGGAGTGTCAAGTAAGTGAGTGAAAGAGATCCCACAGTGTGTGTTTTTAACCCAGAGAGCTATTGGGCTATTGAGGTTCTTACATGTCCTTTATTGTTACTAAGTGTTTGTTGCAACTTGGGGTCTTTGCTGGCGCAATTGTTGATGTTTTTGGTGGTTTGGTTTTGACTATGAGGTGTTTGTGCTGTGAAGAGGTTTTGAATGAAAAATCATGTGTGTGAGCATTGTGAGCCACGGAGATGAACGCCTATTCCCCCATGACACAGATTCAACGTGATAGAGTTTTGATTGCTTATTTCTTAAAACGCTTGGTCTTTGGACTGTTTTACAGGCTTTGCTGAACTCTGGAAGCAGGAGACTGCGTCCTGTACATACTGAGCAATATCTCTCCTAAACATCGGGCGACCTGAAAGATCGATGGAACTCCTCGAATGGTTTTGTCAGAGACTCCTTTGAAGGATGAACAACAACCAGAAAAACACTGAGGGATGAACCAGTTCACCGTAGTTCAATCATACAATATATATATATATATACCAGCCATCCTTGGGGTGAGTGATACCTTCTCCGGACCGTGGTGATTTTTTCCCTTGAAGCTCCCGCCATCGTCGGATCGCCAGGCGCAGCACTCGGAGGAGGCGATCGCCGAGCGCGATGAGGAGAGCGGAGGGGTAGCTCTTTTTTTGGGGTACATGAGAGTGTACTTGTACATTAACCCTTCAAATCTCTTCATTCAATGAGAATGTATTTGAAATCCAGGATGGGTCTCTTGAATAGGAAGACCCCCTGGCCGCTGGGTAGATGGGTCTCTTGAACCCGAACCGAACCCAAGAGGTTGCCTGGCAGGCCTCCATATGTATACCTACACACATGTTCCGGTAAGGTCCGGTGGAGAGGATGGAGGTGTTCTTTTAGGGGGGGGTGACGGGTTTTCTCGCGGGGACAGCATGACCCAGGCTGGCGAGACAGTCAGGCAGATTGGGGTGATATGATGTTCATCGGCTATCAGTAAGATGATTTGATGTACTGGTGGAACAGATCCTTGTCGAGGGCGTTTGACTGGCTGAGGACTCCCCCCCCATCCCCCCTTGAAGGAAGTTTGTCAGGACAAACTTCCCCTGAGGTTGGGTGATTGTTTGAATTTTATCATGTGGATTTGCTCAAGCATCAGAGCTGTGCAAATGAGACTGGCAGGGACGTTTTCATGGGAAGCTGCATGTTTCAAGGGCTGGGGAAGGTGCGGTTGTTGAAGTTGGACATACATCCTGGCAGCAGGGGTGCTGTGTTTAAGCGCTGGAGTTGCTCGTGTTCAGTTCAAACCAGATAAATAGGTGCTTGAGCTGCTTGGGTCCAGCTCAGTCGGTGAATTTTGTGCTGCTTGTCGCAAGGAGTTTGTTCGAATACGTGTCAAGCAGACTATGAGAGAGGTGGGATTCGAGGGCTGGGGAGATGAAGAGATGTTGTGTTATTATAGGTTAGATTGTAAGTTTGATTGTTATAATTATGTATATAGATCTAGTGATCTTATGTTCTGCTATTTGTTGAGAAGATTGTGATAGTGGCTGGCTGTGAGCGAAGCTACAAGGAGAAGGTCTATCGGCAGTGCCCGAAAGCAAGACCTACCGGAACCCGGTAGGAGCCATGGCAGCTGTGCCTCCGGAATGCCTCAAATGTGGCAAAGGGTTCCAGTTCGTATGATGGATCCTGCAAAGACAAGACCTATCCCTATGGATCCACATACATTCTGAGAGGATGATTGGAGAATATTGGAGACACATCTATGTATATAGGCTTGGAGGTCCAAGTACTGTACCCTATCAGAAGGTATGTAGATCACAAGTGCGACAGGCATGAAAGACCAAAACGGCAATTGATAAACCATTCATGATGGTACCATACACCCCTTAAAGACCCAAGACTTGCACTGTCTTTCTTCACCCAAGACTCCGTGGCAGTTGGACACGACTTTTCGGACTTGTTGGAGAGGACCGGACACCATTGGAGAGGCGTTTGATTTGCACTTCCATTGCCAAACAGAAGCAGATGGTCCACAGAGGTTTAGCCATGGACTCCACACAGGTTTTGACAAGCATACGCCATACGCAGTCTGGAATTTGACAGTCAAGCCCTGTAATTAGTTCAGTCTCATGGTTATACATCACAGATTGATGACATGAACCTGCACAAAGACCACTGCCGGTGATCAAACAGTGATCCAGGTGGAAATTCCAGGTTCCCTGTTGGTGTTGGGATGTGTTTGTCCAAAGGGATTCGGATGGGTATCGATCCCTCGCAGTGCTCAATCCCTCGTCCCTCGCTGCAGCCGGGGATCCCTCGTCGCAGGTTGATCCGCAAGGACTTGGCCGAGTGGGCATCGATACCTGGTGCGCGGCCACGGGGCACAGAGGGGCACTGGGCACACCAGTATCACCAGTGACAGACATGGGTGACTAGCCAGACTAGACAGACATGGGTGAGTCAGGCATTGGGAGGCAGGAGATGTTCAAAATCCTTGGGTTCGATCCATCGGCCTGATCGGCCTGACCTGTCGCTGAGTGTCTCTTCGTGCGAAAGCACTGACTGTAGGATACGACTGAGGGTTCTGAATGTTACGACGACTGTGAAGGGAAAAAGACATGCAAGTTTGACCATCCCTCAGGCAGAGGGGTTCATCTTAGATCTTTTGCTTGTGGGTCATTGGAGTCAGCCAAAGGGTCAGGCTTAGCTTCCCTCAAATTGGCTTTCTATAGCAGAGCATTGCATGTTAAGTCAGGGTGTTGGGGAAGTAGAAGCCGTGTGCCTGCGGCGGTTCTGGGTCCTATTTGTCCCGACAAGTGGGCTGGGTGGTTCTTGATGCTTTTGCTGTACCTAATGCCAGCTGGATGGGCATTTAAGGAAGGTATATCCACCACTGGGTTCACTCCAAAGCAAGTGTGAGTTTTGTGTGGTCTGGAACCCACGGCTTGTGAAAACGTTGCAACATGTATGTATACTTTGACCGGCTCCCAACACCTATGTGGCACGACAGTACAAGGCATTAAGGTAAGAACCAAAACCTTTTGAGCTGTGTTTAGACCCATGCTAGACCTTTGGAGATCCGAAAGAGGAGAATGTGGTTGGGACCAGGGTAGCACATCGACCAACGCAATTGCCTCGAGCGATGAGTATGCAGGGTTCGTGTCAGCCTGTTTGCAAATCCAAAGAGTCGATACTGACCTGAATTGGAGAGAAACGTGGTTGTAGCCTCATAGATCTCATAGATCTCATAGAGTCCTGGAGTTTTCATGTATTGGAGATCCTCTCGCGAAGTCATTGAGGGACCTAGCTGCTTGTTCCCCACTGAGTTTCAATTTGCCGGCCTGTGTGTCAGGTTTCGTGTGAGTCCCTTCTGAACATGATGAAAGTAATTGTCTATTTATTTGGGGACAATGTTTGTATATATATATATATAGTTCAAAGACGTGGGCAGTGACCCCTACACCTTTACTTGGTAGCAGAGGAAATCCATGTATGTATAACTGTTCGCTACTGAGTTCCTTTTCATAAGCATCATCATTATCCTCTGGAGAACATCAGGGTATGAGCAGTTATGAGCAGAATCTTCGGAGGTGTGAGCCTCGGATGTTCCAGTCGATGATTTGAGCTCCTATAAGTGCCAGGTGCAACCACATGCTGCTCACCCGATCAAGTCCTGCTGCCATGCGTGTGGGGGGCGCAAAGAGACTATCGAGGATTTGGGGAAGGACATGGAACTTGAGGCAAAGTGGAAGTAGGGATAGGCCATGATAGGCCTATATAATTAGGCGTCAATACTTACTAGAAACAGAATCAACAAGGGCCGGCAACACGTGAAATCTGGATTGTTTGGAGATTTGTACTCGAATGACTGTAGCATACCACATGCAGCAGTTTCTGTATGTTCCTGTATATAGGTCGATAGTCACACCGAGTTTGTACATCCAAGAAGTAAAGACCGGGATACATGAATTGTTGTTATTTATACAACAGTTGCACACACGAGATCTACTTTAGAACAAGTAAACAGCCCACATTCAGGACCTTGTGCATGCACATTTCCTCATGCCTCAGGATATGATACTGTTGCTTCAATCAGGTTAGTTACACCGCCTGGTTGGGGAGCTACATCATCTTCGATTTGCTGGGTGACCCTTGTTTTTTTCTCACCTAGAGAAAGCAAGACACAGTAAATGTGCGGGAGCCTGGACAAAGCCTCCAAATGTTCAAGAGAAGCTTGGAATAGAGTGTGTACGAGTGTGTCCTTTACAAAAGCCAACGGGTGTTGGTTTCAGAAAGAGAAAACAACAGCTCCCACCCACCACCTCCCTAGTTTTTTTTGCTTCCAGCTATGTGCGGGGGGATTATACATATACTGTATTGTACAGTTCTTTTCTCGTGCTGCATAGTCGAGAATTTATCAGAATTTCCTTTTGCTGACAGTCAACAGAACGGGATTCTGACAATAGCGTATTCATCCCATACGTATTCCATACTGAACCTGAAAGATCACGCACGATTGGTGTTTCACAGAAAGCACCATGTATTGAGGACAGATATATCTAAGCGCAACCCCTGCTGACCAAGTACTAACCTGTCCTCCCTGCCAAACTGGTGCAAATTGTGAAGGATTGGTGACCTGGAAAAGAAAATTTGCAGTGCGGAACGAATGACATGGGTTGAAGAAATAATACTGTAAATCTTTGACAGCATCGTGCTTTCCTTGAACAAATACTTGGATTTATACAAGATACCATATTATTGTTACATATTTTTATACTGATATGTACAGTATAGCATTATTGTATTACTTTTCCATATTGTATTGTTATATATACTTCTATGATTGTTGTCGTATTGGGTACCATTTAAAACCTGTTTCAGATGAAGCAAACCCATTCCTTACCATGCTTGCACCATGCTTGCACCTCTAGGGCCTGGGTTCACCATTCAGCAATGTGTGTCCTTGGTTCCAAGGACTCTCAACTGGCTGGGTGTTGATTTCAGTCCCTCAGAGACATTCACTTGAGTGCAAACAGTGCAACGAGTCACTCAGAGACTTCAAAAAGGAAGTTTTTTCCCCCATTTGCTGGGAATTGAGGCTAGGCGTCGCTCGAGTGAATTTAGGCTACGCGACTTCCGGGGAAATTGCAGAAACAGACGCTGCTGCTTTCACGGCTTCTTCGGCCTGTGTGGGAAGGCCATGTTGCATGTGAATCGGCTCCTAGAAGCAGCCATACAACAATGTCCGGGCCGCCGGAGGGTCGGAGGGTTGGAGTGACCGTTTATTGTGGCCCGTGTGTCGTCAGGGTCACGGTGGGTGAAAGTGGGTGAAAGCTCCTGAGTTCTGAGTTGCATTTGCTTCAAGATTGAGGAATGTCCGGAGCAAACAGGGTACACCAAAGAGTACACTGGTTCCCAAAAGGTATACTGTAGAACAATGTCCAATACATTTTGGATTGGACTGACTGTTCATTTATTGAGTCACTGGAACTTCAATGCAATTAGATTCTCGGAATCGACGCAAGAACATGATTTCAGGACCAGCAAACAATGGGTTGACTAGACTGGATCCTGCTTCCCTCACAGCCTCAAACATGGACTTCAGTGTCTGCTTTGCGGTTAGCTAGACACCTTTGGCTTTTTCAACATCGGTCTAGGAGTCTGGTGGTCAGTTCGACATCAGTGGAGCTTTCCAAAACATGGGTTTCATGGCAGTCTAGATGGCAGTCTAGATGGGTTCTTAAGTCTTCTCACCATGGCGCAAACGGATACTGTATATTTCCATCAGAACACCATCGCGCCATAGCTGACGCGTCCCAAGGCATTGATTGTACGCGTTCTTTTGGATGTATATATACTCCTTTGACCTTGTCATGGCTAAGTGGAGCGAACACCACCTGTTTGGTATTTGGATTTCATGTCATCCGAAATCGGGGTCCCTGCCATCCACGCAAGCATGACTATTTTAGGGCGTGTGAGTGCAATTACAGTATAATACATTTGGCAGAATTCAAGAGGGGTCCATGACACCAAAGCAGTACAAGTTGTTGTCACTCTTCGCCTATCTGCAGAAACTTACCGGACCTCTGGTGGGGATGTTCTCACCCTTTGTGGTCTCGTCAACTGGTTGATCACGCGCGGGCTACAGGCCCAAGTATCCTGGTGGCTCTCCAACACAGCTTCGAGGCTGTCGCAATTACCACAGAAATACGTGACTTCGAGTTGTAAACAAATGCAAGTAAATAAGAAACGTGTGTGGAAGAAGTAGTGAAGATTCTCTTCAGACATGGTGGTTTAGGGCATGCAAAGATGTTGAAGCGGTTGCTTGGGGAGGTAAGCTCCAGCTGGTTCCGGAGCTTCTATTGGCCACTTTGAGTCACTGCTAGCCCCTATCTCATCTTATGACCTTGGTGCCTATGTCCCCAGATCCACTGGTTCTACTTCCGGACGTCGCTTTTGCAAAATTCGGCCACCAAGCCATCAGCCAGGTTCTTTCTTTGCATGGGATGCACAGCAAACTATTTGGATCCTCCAAAGCATCGTGACACTTCTTACGTTGTGCTCACCACCAAGCTGGGTTTGTCTCAAACATGCCGGGATTTCCACTGCTCCAAGTTTGCGAGAGAGATCCATGTCTTGAAATTGCATAGAGCTGCAAGGTGCCTTGTGTATGAAGCTTTGGTGATCTTCAGTGGAGCACCTCACCATTGGGAGGTTCAATTTTTGGATCTCCCACAAGAAACTCCTTCAGGTGAACCATAGTTTGTTTGCTGATTTGCTCTAAAAAGAGCCATACACTGTACACTTCACCTTCACCTTTTCCCCACAGCTCCGACTGCCGGAAAGTAGCTAGATCGGCACCCACTCCACCTGATGTGGTTAGAGCCCTATAAGGTTAGACCCCTGTGGTCGCCCTGGAACATCCAAAGTTGAAGATGTTCAATCTTTGGGTAAACAACTGGAACACTGGCACAGCCCGAATGGCCGCAGGCGGCGGAGCGTCAGATTAGGTGGGCATTGCCACATGGTGGCGGTTGGTTCAGCGGTGCGTGAGCAGGTAGGGGCGGAATAATTAAAAAAATAGGTCCCCCGTTTGCACCCATGTCCAGCTGGAGTGGAATTGTTGGAGCACTGCCCAATGTTTGCATGGTTTTGAGAGATCAACTGGGCCTTTGACTTTGTTCTCACAGAGATGGACTTTTCAGAAGTGAATGGAGACCACGGGATGGGCAAACTGCTTGGACCCATCTGACTCCAGGAAGATGTCAATCAGATCAACTCTGGATCGATTTGCAGATCTGGATTGGGGTCTTGAATGGAGTTCCTGTACAGTAGATCAAGTTGATGTCTCACATCCTGCCAACCTACCTGTAGAGGAAAGTTGCTTGACTCATGGTACTTGATCATTGGCCTCTAAAGTTGACGGTTCAGTTCAGAGACCTTTGATTGCTGTCCTAGGCAGGTTCAAATCCCTTGGCAAAGAACATAAGTCGTGACATGTCAGGATCATGCGACAAATATCGTCGTAGTTGATGCATATATGTTATTAATATATATATATATATATATTATATGGCGTTCTGTAGTATGTATAATACTGCATTCAACCTGCCCGCATGCGCTCCCAGAACACGCGAAACGCGCGCTACGCCGCACGAAAAACGGGAACAATTTGTCCCGTCCGCGAGGCGCCCGAAACCTTCGAAGACGTGGGAAGAGGATCCGGAAGGTGGCATCGATTGGGTTTCTCAAAGAACCTCTCGCAGACAGTCATGTATGTCAGATTTGCCCATCAGTTGAGGGGCCTAGATTGGGGTGGTTGAAACGGGGGCAATGTAGGTAAAATATGCAAGTCCCATCGGTTATGTTTGGGGTCTTGCTGCGCCGACAGCGGCCTTGGAGTTGTGTTGAGCACATGAGGGTAAGTGCCAAGATAACAAGGAGCAATTCCGACGAGTTGTGAATAGATCACGGCCGACGATGCAACATTTACTGCCTCAAGGAGAGGCTCCAAGGGCTGAAGGGTTTGGTGAAGCTCAAAGGTCCAAAGATCCGCTGCACTGCAGTAATTAGGCAGTCGTTGATTGTAGCAGGTGGTCCCACAGTTCCAAAGGAAAAGCAATAAACCCATAACTGCACGACGTGTATATAATATGTAAATTACCCAAACGCTCGATGCCATATTTACCTACTATTAGGCTGGTTGACCTGAGGTCGATGTATATGCCCATTCCTCATCTTTTTGGGGTTTTGATCTTCACTAAAATACCCACTCCGTCCCGAACGATGCTCCTGCTCCGAGCGTCCCTCGCGGGTTCCGCGAGGCATTCCCTTTGAGGGCTTTGACCGTGAGAGCCCTTTGCCCTCGCCGCGCACCTTCCCGTCGCCCATCGCAGCCCGGCGAAAGCGAAGCACACGGAGCGGAGCACCGGCAAAACCCATGCGTTGCGAGGGATCAGAGGCAAACGTTGCGAGGGATCAGTGCACAGAAAGAGTTTTGCAAAAAGCTATTCTACTAACATCGTGGAAGGTCCAGGACATTCGTGGAACCCGGGACTATTCGTGGACGTTTCGTGGAATGGTGGCCAGTAGGGAAACTGACTGCAACAAAAAAGACACAAACCTTCGCAGGACTGGAAGAAATGCCTATAGAATTGACCAGACCAATGTATATATAAATATACCATGCATGGAGTGTTTGGGGATGTTCAATATGTATTCTGCAAAAAATGTAATACCTACCTCAGGGAACAAGCAGCGACTGTCGATGGAATTGGGCACAATCCTACCGACTGGGAGCAAGAACCTCAAGCAAGACAATGTTTAATTGCAGCATCATGCTGCAATGCTTGGTCGCCCATCTTCCAGAAGAAAACCACATCCATGCTGAGATGGGATTGGATCTCAAACCTTTGCTTAAGGGACATTCAGGGACTATACTGAACCATTGAAACTTAGAATGCCTGTTTGAGTTCCAAACACATAGAATGCATCTCCATTTTAGAATGCCCGCGGCATTCTAAGTTCCGGTCCGATATAAATTCCTAAACATAGAGGTTAAACAAATGTTGTTATGTCCTTGTGAAATCCAATGCTGTCAGCAATTCTTGGCATCACATCACAAGTTCAAAAGGAGAAAGTAGAAAAGTTCTTTGGGTGTTCCATCGCCAAAACAATCCCATCACCAAAAAGCTCACGCCTGTGCAGAAATCCGGGGAAAAAAGTACCGGAACTAGATGAACCGCCATTCCCATCTACCACAAATCCCTGTAAATATGCAGAAAACCAGACATCCAGCGCACGCATTTTAAGTCGAAGTGCCGTAAGGGTATCCAAAAAAGTACCGGAACCAGTTCCGGTCGTTTTTTAGGGTCCATATTTCCGCCTTTGCATTTCCAAACGCTAAGTTTCAATAGCTCGGTATGCTTTCTATTGGCCAAAAGAGTAAGCCAACAAAAATTTAACGACCCTTTCGAGGTAGGTGGTGACAAAGCCACAGGGTAGTCCTTTCCCAGCGTGGCATACGTGATTTGTCCCGGCTTCGACAGCACATCCACGCATTGGGGCTATTTGCGTAAGCTTGACCCCCCGGTCCACCAGCGTGAAATACTTGTTCGGCATGCAGTAGATGCCTAGGCTTCCTGGCCCACCATTGATTTAAAGGCTGAATCCCGAACCAACTAAGGATTGTACAGTACAAAACCAGGTCAAGCATTTTTGTTAATGGTCTTGGAAGTCTAGGGAGATGCTATACCAAACCCAAGTCACCGGACAGCGACCGGACAAAAATAATCCTCCGGCTGCTTGGAACCACGCGTCGGCGGGTTTGGGTGTGTTCGTCGGAACCTGGAAAATGAGCTGGAAGGATTACCTTCAAACAGCAGCCGCAACAACAAGCTGCTACTACTACTACGACTACTACTACCACTACCACTACCACTAGTACAACTGACCACCACCACCACCACGAAGAAGAAGAAGAAGAAGAAGATAAAGAAGAAGAGCAACTTGAAGCGACCATCATTCCCACGACTCCAAGCTTCATCACGCAGCTTCTCCGTGCTGAAAATCGCTTCGCGCCAGGTTCAGACGGCCCCAGAAGTGACGCCTGAGGTGGTGGTGACGCTCGGTTTTTGAAGCGAAGTGAAGGTCTTCCAGTTGGCTGAAGTGGTGTGCCAACCGACCGAGGATCCATGAGGATCCGACACCAACCGACACCTAGTTGTTTGGAGAAACTCCAGCTATTTGAGCTGCTGTAGAGTCATGCAGGATTTCCTGTTGAATCCCCGTTTCAGCGGTGGATCCTCTTAGATCCTCTTAATATTCAACGCCTGTGGTAGGAAGCAACCGCCTTGGTATATCAATCCATAATTTAAGGCCTTGATCCAAGCACTGTTGTATCCACATGTGTTCCCCATCATTGCAACTGTGCACAGCCTTGGAGAACCTCTTTGACCTTGGAAAGCAGTTCCACGTCAAGCCTTGGCGCGCCACAATACCGGTTTTCGAAGCATCACGCCTTACGGCAACGGCGCCCCCAAACCGTTTCGCTCGGTCGGTGTTCGTCTCGTCTCAGGATGGATTCTCCGGGCTTTCGACGCAGCCCGGGGGCGCAAGAGAGAGAGAGGAGAGCGGAGAGCGGCTCTCCCTCAGCCTGGGTCTTCTTCACTAAGAAGGTCATGTCCTGACAAGGAAATACAAAAAGATTCGTCATGGGCGATGTTTCTGGGAATTTCTGGGAAATTCTTCAGAAACACGATCTTTCCACAAGAGTAAGTGGGATAAAAACCAATGTCCCTGGCTCTTTAATATACATATATGAAAGATTGGAGGGAAAACTCCGAATCTGAGAATTCCCAATTCCTAATTTGCCATGAGCATGGACGGTGCGGAATTCAATCCATCGACACTGGAGAATCCCCGTTCCTGATCCTTTTGAGGGGGTTCGAACATGCTTGGAATAGTATGTTGCCCGAAACGTGGGGTTGAGAATGAAATGTTGAATACTAAAAGAATCTGAACAGAATCGAACAACATTTGATGACTGATGGACAGAAAGCTCCAGTTTCTTTTTGTTCATTGATTGCGATGTCTTCGATTTCCTTGGCCAATTGAGGTCTTTACCAACAAAATTAACCACCACCACATTGGTGCCAAAATTTTGAATCCTTCAATTCATGTGTGCTGGGGAGAGGTCACAAAAGGTGATGTTTAAACAATGCTAGCCACAGAGCACGTTTCGCACGCAGGGTCCAGCAGCGGCCAGGTTCAGGATGGTTCAGGGTTTCCGCGCAACCTGCAGCCCATCTCCCAAACCACGTATAATTATCCTGAAAACTTGTCCGAGTCGTCGCTTACGAATGTGATAGTTGCAACCTGTTTGCGAAAAAAAAAAAAAAAAAAAAAAAAAAAATACTATAGTATATATAACATATTATAACATCCTTTTTGATACCACATGTTGTGGCTATGATGGTGATCAACACGCTATCGTCACTATAAACTAAGTATATATATATTATATTGTAACTAATATATAATATAATATATGGGAGCACACCTCCCAGCACCCCCAAGAGGAACGCAAGAAACCATTGCATTTGGAGACCGCATGGGCACACTTTACTGACAACACAGTTTGGTATACTGCAATGGACTGGTCGTACGCATGATAGTATCAAGAATTGTCACTTGTACGGCTCACCGTAGCCGGTGCATTTGCTGCATAAACCAGTCCTTAAATGACATCTTAAGCAACCTGTTTCGACAACATGAAAGCAATGTGCAGTGTTGCAGTGAACATATGTGATTCTCATCCTCATTGGCCATAAATCAACAACCATACAAAATTCATACCTCTTCCCTGCTACTACCTCTTCCCTGCTTGTTGGTTTGCTCAATATATCATGATCATCCTCATCCGCCGGAGTCCACAATTCGCCTTGGTGAGGTCATGACCACGACGCCTTTCCCATCGAGGACCGAATCGCCGGACGTCGGCATCGGGGTGTTGGGGCGTTGCACGGAATCCTGTCGGAACCTGCATTTGGAGTGTATGGTGGACGTGGAATGGAAGACTTGTTGGGCATCAATAGCGGCCCCAAACGGAGCTGGAGCTGGAGTTTGTTGCCTGAGACGTAGTTTAGAAATGTTTAGAGTTTGGAGTGATTTGGAGATGATATTTAGGATTTCTTGTTTTCACTCACTATCACAACAGTACAGATGTTTCGCTACGTTTGGTAAAGGCTTCTGTCAGAATGCCTAATTATCCCAGATATCTTCGACCTTTGTGATGGGCTTTTTCGAGGCCATGTTACAATGTTGGTGATGGGGAATCACTGGCCGCCATGCACTTAAGCTGGCCCTCTGACGGGGTTCATCCCTAGATCGGCCAGGAGATCCTGATGATTTACACCCGGAAGCTGTGGCATCTACGGCCCAAGTATACCGGCCCCTCGAAACGTCGGCCGCCCAGAGAGAAATCGCTAGTCTTGCGGCAGGTCAGAGACGTCTCGCGAGAAACGATCCATTTTTGGATACCTCAAACACAAACGTCCGGAACATCCGCAACATCGGAAGAGTTCGTTAGCTCCCGGAAAAGGAGCGAGCTGCGCTCAGGTCGCACCGACTTCTCCTACACGTCGCCGGAATCGTCCGGGGGCGCTGACGGGAACCGGTGAAAGGTCGGGGAGATCAAAAGGAATTGGCCCTGGTGTTGGGTGGGTTCCTATAGGCTTATAAGATCTTATGATCGATAAAAGTCCAATTTCCAAGAGGTTGTTTAAAGGGATTTTTCCCAGATGTTTGGTGGTTTTGGGAGGTTTTGTGGTGGTCGGGTGGTGTGCAAATAGATTCCAGCCAATCTAGGAGATCTTGGATGCCTTGGAGGAAAAAAACACTTCCGAGGTTTGTGAAAGAGACGCTGAAAGCCATGGAGATGGACAGCCAGCGTCTCAGCGGGGCCAGAAATGGTGGACAGCCAGCTGTAGGAATCGACGATCCGACGTGGAGAGCATTTCCCAGACGCGACCCATGGCCATATATGCCGATCAAAATGGGGTGGTGCCAGGGGGGTCAATGGGGCGGCATATATGGCAGTCCCATGGAGTGTATGGGTGTTCTTAACCAGGAGATCTGTGAACATCCCCAGAAACAAACACTCAGTCAGTTAGTGAATCTGGGCATTTCAACTACGACCGAGTGGAGTGTTTGGACCCTGTAGGCCACGGTATGGAGTGGTTGAAGAGCGACTTCTGTAGCACATGACTTCGAGCGCAAAGGAATGGCGGCGTGGGTATGGATGTTGTAATATCTGGCAGTTGTGTTAATCGAATCAACGTGCTCCCTTCGTCGGAATTCCGTTGGACTAAGACCTGAGATTCACTAAGAAGTCTCCCCGTATCTCCCCGTTTGACCGACACATTCGGACCATTTGTCCCATCACTGAAATGTCTGACCTCCAAAGAGACTGTACCGATGTATTCACTCGGAAAGAGACCCACATGGAACCTGATGGCATGGACTTGGACCTTCTGAAGACTATTTTCCTCTACAAACTGGGCGTGGTTGTGTGACCAAAGACTGGGTTTTCTTCTCTGTGACTCCGTCCTTTGGAAACACCGATGAACCACCCGGGTGACTGTTACTCCGGGTGGGAGGCAGGTCTTCCGTATTCGTGCGCAGGTAGTACCTTGGTGTCCTTCGCAGACTTTTTGGCACTCTTCTTGGGACGGCAAGAGTGGCCCGGAGACCCGAAGAGCAAGACGGCCGACTCCGCCAGGCCACCCACAGCAGAAGGGACTGGTGGGTGACAGTTGCAGCATGTTGCAGCATTGAAAAGAAAGTTGTTGCCAAGGGGTTAGTGATAGTGACGGTTGATGTATTTGCTTGGAGTCGATGGGGTACTGGATGTGTTGATAATATGCTTGGACTTTGATGAAACCCCTTTTGCTGTCTCTTTTGCTGCGGTGAGACGATTACTTTCTCCAACAACGGAGCATGTTACAAGCAGCTTGGTGATGAAGCGTGCTATCGACCATCGACCCAGACAACTCTGAAAAAAGAAAGCGTACATAAAGGAATCAGATGAGTTCCTGGCTTGCGGTTTCTGAATTATCGGAGCAACTCGTTTGACATTGAATCTGCTTGGTCTATTTGGCTCAGCTCGTTAAAATCATTTGAATCGTCTCCGGTGAATTCATCGTGATTGAACTTGTTTTGCTAAAGGAGACCACTGAAGCTTCTGAAGGTCTAGGACTAGGACCCATGTTGGAACGGCGCTGAATTGATGGATCGCTGCACAGACTCGATTTGTGAACTGTTTCCTCAGACATATCAACGAAGTAATTATTGGGATTGCGCATAGAGGTCGCTTAAATGTTCTTTCTACGATTATGGGCAAATCCCTTGTAACAAGAAGAGAAACAATGAGCTGTTTTCATATAGAACTACTTATACCTCTGAAGCTGTTCTTTGTTTCTATTTTGATGTGTTTACTCTCCTTAAACTCTCAAAACAGGGCATTGAAAGGGCGATTCCTTCTCCCTCCACCTCCGAAAGTGATGATACTATTGGTGCTTGGCTGAAAGAAGTGGGTTCATCCAAAAAATAACAGAAACAGTTGCAACAGTTACTCAGATGGGTCGGTAACCATCAGAGTTCCTCAGATTCCAAAGCTGTTGGCCGAAGCTGCGGCCGTTTCTCCTGGGTTGTCAACGAGACATACCGAGACTTCCAGCTGAAAATGAGGCCAGTGCATCTCCACCTCTATGATTTGTCGCGAGGTCAGCTGAGATGCCGAAGAAAGATCATCGTATTATCACTGTTACAATATCATGATCATGCCACCTGCAACGCTGCACGAACTTGAAATGTTTGCTTGAATAATTGTTTTTATCATTTGGATGAAGCTCTGGATGTACATGGAGCCAAACAAAGCAACAAAAAACCACGGGTAAGCACAGCAAATTATATATATCCGTGTGCCTAGCATTGGGTCCATGGAGATCCACTCCAGCACCAAAAAACGCGCCTGCTTTGGTCGCTAAGTCCATAGATCGGACTTGCCCTGTCAAGCGAATACAACTGTTGTCTTTAAACAAATACCTGGCATAGAAGGCCAAACATATCATAAAAGATTTTGAAGATGGAAAACAACAACCTGATTACAATTGGAGAAAGCAAACATGGCAGCGCCAACAACTTGAATTCATCGGAGTAGGAACGGCAGCAAGCACCTGGGTGAATCCCAAAAGTTGGAATATGTGCGCGTTCTTTTTTCCCCTGGCTTCCTGGACTACCTGGACTCAGCAAATCCTTCCGAACATGTCGAAGCTGTCAGTCCATCTCGCCAGGCTTAGCTTCGATGCTCGGGCCAGTCTTGCTCTCCAAGGAGTTAGAGGCGCCACCCGGCGCAATGCCATGCGCGCCACGGGTCATGCAGCATGGCACTTGAGTTACCAACCCAGCGAATATGTTCAGGGAATGAGCAGTAAGAGGTACATCCAGGTACTAAGACAAGGGTCGGGGAAATGGATGCTATATGCCACTATATGGTACTTATTAGATCGTCGTTTGCGTCGTGCTTGCATGACTAAAGCGTCACTGTATATTTTTGATCGGCTGAAGGATCCTCAGCATTGCGTACCTCCAATAGTCGCTTGACACCCGCTGTATGTCACCACTATATACATCTTTCATGATCCGGGTGTCAAGATGTTGAGGTTTGGTATCTCTTTGGACGGAAGGTGAACGTTTGTTGTCCAACTATTTGACATGACATGCCTCTAGATCTTCAATCGGCCTAAACTTTTTGCCGGATGCAGTGCAACGACGTTATGGTGCGCTGTGTAAAACGGGCTGCCAACATGTGCTTAAGATCCATGGACGAGGAAAGACACCGCATGGACGCCCTTTTCGACGTGGTGTCTTTGTGGGTTCTCATCTCGCCATGACAACATGTGTGTGTGTGTTTCTGCCTTGTCACAAGAAAGAAACAACGTCGTTTTTCTCAGCTGTATAGTGGCATGTAACGGCACCTGTTTCTGAAAGGCAATTGTTTGTGCCAATGGTTTATACACATCCTATCAACAAATCGCAGACAGTATGTTTCTGGCAGATGTCCCTGCCAAGCACTTCATATCTGCCAGGGCGTCTGGCACACTGGCATCGTGGTCTATGGCAAGGAGTATTACTTCGGAGGTGACATCTTCTATGACACGCCCGCGAACACGGGCTTTGGAACCCCGAGGTCAGCTACCCAGATTCTGTTCATGTCTCCATTGACGCTAGGTGGCACCCAAAGATATCAAATTGGTCAAGTCGTTCGATGGCTGTTTGTTCTGTTCTGTTCTGTTCATTTCGCCCAATTCGCCCAACTAAGCACATTTGGGTTGCCTATAGCATCATGGCATGCAGAAGAGGTTGGACACACTGGATAGTCCCTTTGAAACCGATTGGACACCGATGGAAGATGATGGAAGACCTTTGCGGCTAGATCAGGTGAGTGAGAGCTCTCCGGCAAACCCATGGTGTTTGCCCCTTTTCTGGGACCGAGCAATTTCTGGCGTCAGTCATGCAAACATCCTCCTGGGCCACAAGCTCAAATCATATACGATCCACAACACTTGAGCGATCCATCTACACCTTGCATGATATTCAATGAGCCATACCATCACCCTCACAGCCATTGGTTCCGAAGACAGGTTTCCTTCTCAACAGTGGATCTATTGCGTTCCATTGCTTTGCTACATTTACACCCACTAAAACCCTGAGCATGTTGCGAACCGAAGGCCAACAGAGATTCATCAGACACTTGGAACGCTGGGCAGCTGTTTTTGCTTCAAGGCTCGACGCGGCGATGGCCTTTCAGATCATCCTCCGCAGTGCCTCCCGGTCGCCATGCTGCGGGCTTTGGCCTCGTTGCCACAGCCGCGCTTTGGCTGCTCGGGCGGTGGAGCAGCTGCGGAGTATGGTGAAAGAGGCGAAGACACCGCAGAAAGCCAGTCCGGTGAGAAGACATTCACCAATTTCAAGAGCGTTGGGTGATGGCACGGGCAAGTGGCGATGTTGTGATTGTCGGGTTGAGAAGACAGTGGCGGACTTCTATGTCACAGCAGATGGTGTTGTGAATTCTTATTGCATCAGCTGTAAGAACAAAAGAAATGCAAGTTACAAAAGGACCCTTCGTGGGAACGCGAGTGTTCTTGTTAGTAGCGCGAGGAGACGAGCCAATTTAAAAGGGTGGGCTTGCGATTTGGACGTTGACTTCATCCTCAATCTAATTCTTCAGCAACAAGGCAGATGCGCCTACTCGGGAGTTGAGATGGAGATGCTACTGCCGCACTCTGACTGGCGCATGTCATTAGAAAGGCTGGACAACGGTGTTGGGTATGAACCGCAAAACTGTGTGTTGATTGCTGCCGAGTTCAATACTTCGGGAACAACCAGCAAAAGGATGACGCTTGATGCCCGGTCCGGATCCTCAAAGTGGTCAGTGGAGAAAGTGCAGCGCCTCTCCGCGGAGCGGTGCTTGAACGTGGATTTGAAGGGATTGGACCAGGCCATTCAGGCCGCACGTTTCCCGAAGCAGCATCTTGCACTGCCACAAATCCTCTCAGAGCCTTCCTGTCGGCTTGAGAGGGCTCCTGAGCTTGTTAGGTGTTCACACTGTGAGCATTGGAAGCCCAACGTGAATTTCTCCTTGCACAGAACAAGGTCATCCGGATTCCAGGCATATTGCAAGCAATGTCACAGCGCTTACAGATTGGCACGTCGCATGACTTTGCGTGGTCACATCCAGGAATTGTTAGGAAGCGCGCGGAGCAGGCACAAACATGGCAAATGGCACGGAGACTTTGAGCTTGACGTCGAAACTGTGCTGGATATGTTGTGGTCCCAGGAAGGACGCTGTTTCTACTCCGATGTTCCCCTGAAGTATGCACAGATCAACGTCGATTGGCAGATGTCCCTGGAACGCTTGAACAACCACAAGACCTACACTCAAGACAACACAGTTTTGGCGGCCCTCGAATTTAATACGCCAGACAACAGCATGAACAAAGCTTCATCATTGGTTTTTGGTTCCAGTCAATGGTCCGCGTGGAAGGTTGCGCATGTTTGGGGAAGTGCAACCTGCTTGACTCCAGGAGTTGTTGACAAAGACAGTGCGGTGGGCCCCGAAAGCTGGACAAAGCAAAGTCTTGATGTTTGTTGCTTCCCCGTTTTCTGATCAAGCCCAGTTGACTGAACTTCTCGACCTTTTGAAAGCAGCGTGCAAAAAGACATTGGAACAACTGCTCCTGCACAAGAACTTAAAGGGTAGTTAAGGGTTAATGCTTGGTGGATCGAACAGTATCGAGCATGTTCCTGGGATGAGGAATCCCTAGAATTGAGAATCGTTTGTTGTTGGCCGGTATGCAAGTCTTCGAGCGAAAATTGAATTGCATATGGACCTGCAGGCAAAGATCCCTGAAGGTTCCGTATGAAAGTACTTCTTCTATAATACATATAATTTGCAAAAACATTTTGCGAGTGCCCATACCTGTTTGGGGGCGCAGGCACCTTTTGCACAGAACCAGGTTGACAGACGTGGTTCATCCTGGATTACATTTATAGTCGCTTCTGCATCATAATCTCCAGAATTCTTTGGAAAATCATGATTGAAACCTTCAGAAATGGCACCGAAAGAAACAATCATTACTGTTAAAAAACACAAAACTAACAAAAAGCATGAAATGCAATGGAATGATTGACATTTTGTTGTTTGGGCTCTCCAACTGTCGTGCTGATCTCAGGGTGGTGATCCCTTTGGGCACCACCTTACGCCAGCGAGACGAGCTACACGCGTCACCCGGCAGACGTCATCGTGATGGCGTGCGTGTTCGGCGTCACCGTGGATGACCGGAAGAACCCCTAAGGAACATCCGGTGCTTTTACGGTGGTGAACACAGCGGCAGTTTTCCAACCTGAGGTTTTGGTTCTGCAAAAGTTTGTTGTCCTTGGGGTATAGTGCCTTTGGTACAGTGGATTTTAAGACAACAAGAAAAGCGCTTTGCTGATGGTTGACCCTGGCGGAGGGTGGTGTTTATAGTTTGTAGAGGAACTTCTTGTTTCGTGGCTGACAAGCGAGTAAGCTTGCAACATTAAATCAATTGTAATTGAACTTGTTACTAGTATGACCAATGGTGAATCACGTAGTTCTGCTTGATGGCGAAGGGGGATTTGCCTCATGGGCACAAAGAATTACAGCTTCGGGGAGCTACAAGCCTTTCCACCCGAGTGGTGGGTTTGTGAGAGCGCTTTGAATTCAGGCCATCAACGCGTACTGCCTAGAGCCTCACCATAATACGCTTTCTTTGTCACCAGCGACCTAGCCGCCCAAGACACCATGGTAGAAGGGGCCTAAAATGAAATCCCATGGGGCTGGGAGTCCATTGTTGTGAGTCATTGTGATTCCATAGTCTGATTGAGGTACTATTCTTGTGGGTTGTGCAGAGTTCTGAAGCTCAAGTCAACCGCCAATCAATCTCTGAGGTTCATTGTTGATGAGTTGAAGCCTGTTTTCAACCGCGAGGCTGAACAGAGATGTGTGTTGCAGCAAGTCAAGAGGTATGGCAGAAGTCCTCAAAGCCTTACTCCTTGCAGCTCCCCATTTTGGACCAATCTGGGCTGGTGAGGAGGGCCCTACAGTCAAAGTCATGCATTTGATGCTCATGCGGCAGTTGGACGCAATTGACCTCGCTGTGAACATGAACATCTCCCCACGGCTTAAGTATCGATGTAACTAGATGAATCTCCCAAGGTGTCAAGAGTTTGCATTTGCGGCTTTGAGGGAAGTGCGGGTGGACATGCTGGTGGACCCAATCTATCCGTTTGAGAAGCAATCTACTTTGCGGACACCATGATTCGGACTTCCAAGACCACTGCATCGTGTACTGGTGCATGCTACCTCGTCTTTTCCGACCACGTACTAACCGGTTGTATATCTGCGGTCGGTCGCCACCGTGGGCGTCACCGGGCATCACCAGGCCTATGATGCGGCGCGGAACAACTGCAATCACTTTACGGATCGCGTGAGCTTGCATCTGGCCTGCTGCCTCAGTTCGCTGAGAGGTCGTGCCTGAAGCACAGGTCGACTGAAGTAGATGTCATATGACTGAAGCACTGGATGTTCACCAGGAATCCAAGCCTAAATTATCAACCAGATATTTTATAGTTCATATATAAACATGGTAGAAAGACCATTTGTCTTTCTAGCTGCTGATTAGTTTGGAGCGCCATTTCTAAAAGTTGCTGCGCAGCACCTGTGGTAGTGCCCTGGTATGACAGAACACACCTCGACCATCAATCCGCCGTATAGAGATCTTCCAGAGATAGAGGTGTCGGTGCGTACAAAAATAGAAAGACCTCCCAATCAATGGGTTCTACTACAGTATAGAGTGGTTACTGTAATTTTATGATCGCTTTTTCATGTTGTGTCCTCGATGTGTGGGAGTAGTTATCTCCATATATACGCAAGGATTAATCAGGCTTTTCCGGAATCTGGTGAATCTTCACTGCCCTAGGGATCCAAGTACCTTCTCAGGTACGGTGAGGAAGGAGTCACTGTTATGTAACGTAGGTTGCCATTGTCGGGTCCAGTCGTACCGAACCTGAGCTTCGGTACGACAACGGATCCCGGATGGGCTGGTTGGACTGTTCGATTTTCTTTAACGAAAACGCTCACGGACTCCGAACTCGATGCCACGGACGCGATCAGCGCTTCAGGTCGGATGCCATATCCCGGAAGATGTCCTGGAGCAACCACAGTTGATGCCACATGGCTGGGTTTAAACGCGGTGGGATCGAAGCAGTTCAAAAAAATTAGAGGGTTTTCTTGGGGGAATGTGCTGATGCCAGGTCTGACGTATAGGGGTGTGGGGTCGAAAATCCATTGGGTAGGATAGCACCTTTGGTGTATACCTCTCAGTCAGTGTTTTATATCCGCAGCGTGAGCACAAATTTTTGGAGTCACACCCTTTTATTCGAGTCTGCAGATGTTTCTCTAGTTTTCTGAATTGTATGATATTCCATGGGCGTTTATAAGTACACGAGCTACAGGCATTTATTGGTGCGAACGTGTTGTTTTTTTTGCGGGCGTTTATTTCGGTTGCGGATGTTTGTGTGGTTCATATACCTACATAGAGGTTTGTTGAACTACCGACCAAGAAAAGCAACCACGAGGTTGCAGGTATGAGGATTGGAGAAAATCACTGGCACTATGGTGCGGGTCGGTTTAATTCACCCCGTCCCCGGTTGGTTTAAAGCGTTTAGATGGATTTCAATTGGTCCATCATTCAATACACTCCCTGAAATCATGAACTCGGGACCATGCCATCCACTTCGGCCAGCCTCTGCTCGGCTCGCCGTTTTCCATGTGGTGACCGCGGACTCCGGGTCCTTAGGTCAAGTGAATGCAGATTCGGTATTGATAATGTGTACTGTAATTGATATTGTAATATATTATTCCATTTGGATTGTATAACCATGTGCTATGCGAGGATATTTTTGGTAATCAAGAGTTTGCATTCCGGTGGCCAGGTGTTTTGGGGGAGAACTCAAGCATCACCAATATGATAGAGATCACCGATTTTTGATGATTGCGATGTACTTGTATGTGTGAAATGTCCAAAGAGAGTCAAGTAAACACCCATCTTCTCTGCACCTGGTGCCGCTACCCCAACACCCCTACTGCTGCATGAAACTGGTCCTTGACATGTTCTAAGTCTGGACACCGCCCTCGGCCGTGCTCTTCGCACGGGGCCTTGGGTGAACAGTCGATCACCTCAGTTTTGGTGGTTGGTTTCAACTTGTTTTTTGGCTTCGGCTTGGGATGACTTGAAGCCACTGACTGTAATACGGTAGTAAGTCACGTTTCAAGTGACTTGAAGTCTTGGAAGAGAACAAAGAACCACAGTCCCTTTGTTTGTCTTGGAAGTCTTCTGTGACGGATTCTGTTGACTCAACTGAAGCGTGACGGCGTGACCCATCTGGTGCACCGCGAACGAGGGCAGCATTGCCACTGCCGCCTTCCCAGGGCGTCCAGTTGGTTCATTCTTGTCGCTCCGTGTTTTCATCCAATTTAAGAGGTTGTGCCTACTTTGGCACAAACCATGCACTTCAATGAGGGTTAGGCCCTACGCCCTAGCCCTAGAACATTTGCAAGGTTTTGCTTGAGGACTTGCTGGCTGCATGTGAGCTGGAGGGAACCCTTCCTGGTGGATATCAAGAGGCAGAGAATCTCAAGTTTCTATTGTTTCTTTGCCGTGATTCTCATGATGAACAATCCCTGGCAAAGCTGTGCACAAGCAAGGTGTCCGGACGATGATAAGATTTGAATGCGGGTTGGGAAAGGTGGGAACCTCAGGCAACAACAATAGAGTTGAGGGTGAGTTTGGGGAAAGGTATACATTTCGCCAATGCTTCCGCTTCGTTGACATTCGTCACCATCCTGGTTGATACCCACCACGTACTGGTTCCCGTTCGTTTTTCCCGAACACCGTTCGTTCGCTGATCGCCATTTGGGCTCAGCGGGTGTGCCGGGTGGTCACGCACGGACCACGGTGCCGGTCACGCACGGTGCCGCGATGCGGTTCCGCGTTTGTGGGCTGACCTTAAATGAGCTCTTTGCATATCGGGTGCCGCTCCAGGCGGTGGTCAAGGACTGTCGCCTGGGGATGCTGAACTATGCGCTGATGATCGGGATTTTCGTTTATGCCACGTGGAGCCCGATGGAGCAGTTTTGGGGTCTTCTATCGTATCCAGAACAGGTTGGAGTGTCAAGGTACAGTATAGGGATGTACAGAGAACAGGTTGTGCTGTTTGACATGGCGAAGTATGTGTTTTGCATGTTCCAAGCATCATAGGTCGGCTGTTGATTGTCCTCTCCTTGGTTTAATGGCCAACACCATGATCCAAGTGTTCAACATCCCGCTCTTTCCTGTGTGTGACGTATGACAGATCGTTGATGTAGCGATATAGGGACATCACTTCGTTTGGCTTGCATTGATTATTATACTATACAGTACCCGGACCCTTTTAAATCGTATTAATTGTGTTTTTTTAGTCTTTTTGCATATGTTAATTGTCTCAAGTCCCTTGTTCACTTGGGTTTGTGTTTGCATCCCGGGTTTTGATAATTGTACCCATTCGCTTTTCTGGTTAACGTGGTGACTTCAACCACTGGTGGTTCACTTGCTCCAGAACAATCAGATGACGGCCTGCAGACATGCCTTCTGTTTAAGGCCACCTAAGATGAAGGAGTAAGATCACCAGTCTGGGTGTTGGTCCCAGTCCAAGGTCATGGGCTTCCAGATCATTTATCAATGCAGATACTTGGTGAAGCCTGATATCGAGCTCTCCATGAGGACGACTTTAAGAGCTCCACACCAGGCGAGATTTCGAGCTCAGCTCCGGAAGTGACGCTGACCTGGAGTTGAGCGAGCAGTATTTAAACTGAAGGTTCATGTACTGGTACTAATATGGTATGATTTAGGCCCTCCAATGAAAGAATGATGAGAAAGACCTTCTGGAGAAGCTTCATTTTCGTTCCAATCATCAATCCAAATCCTCCTCAGGCCACGCCCTTCGAGGAGCTCCCCTACTGCTGCATTCAAACAAGCGTGAGCTCAACCTGTGGCCCAGAGCAGCTGGCATGCCGGCGCTACAAGGGACAGTCTGTGCTTCATTCCAGCGAGGAAGCCTTGACGGTGGTGACCCGTAGGCGCACGGAACACCACTTCACTCCTCGCAGCGGCGGCGGATCACCGCCGGATCACGCCGGATCATGGATCGCCCACGGAAAGGTGGTGTTTTCAATCCCAGACACTCCATGTATGTCATATTTACCCACTATATGGCAATGGGGTGGTGGAATTTCCGTTGTCAATGTAGGGTTTCAATATGCCAGTCCCAGACAGGTCGTGGAATCCGCATCCCAAGAACCGTGAAGTGCGGAACCCGCCGAATGAACTGCCGAACCAGATGGGCTGAATCATAAGGATGTATAGAATCAGAGAGGCCGATTAGCAGGGAGGAGGTAGGGATGATTTTGTTTGCTCAATCCGACTTATGACATGACAATCGCACATATGTTAGTGCAAAAAAACACATGTTTTTTCATGCATGTAAGAAGAATCTTGCAGCCTTTAGTCAAGAACTTGTTCGTTGCAGATATTTACTTATTCGTGGTGTTCCTGGAGATGCAAATTTATTCACACCGCTTCGCCAGTCTGTCTGTCCCCCGGGCTGCACAACTGGCATCGCTAACATTTACATCCGAAGCCATACGGACAGTCATACACACGATATCAATCTTTATCAATAAAAAAAACTAAACCACTCACGTTTCTAGACCTAAGCTAGGGCCACCCCCCAAGCTAACGCTTAAGCTGGTTATCTAGCAGCTGAGTGCGGATTTTTCTGGTTGGTTGATTGCCTCGAAGCTTGAGCCTATGCAACTGAACTCACCTGGATGGACAATTCCGTAAGGGTGTTTCTTAGGGCCCCTTGTTGTCAACCAACCAACCCAACTTCAGACCATATGTGCGAAGAGCTCCCAAACAAGCAAAATTTCAGGTAGTTTCAACATGTTTCAACTATATTTTCCAGAGCGTTTTTGGACTAAAGAGATCATCAACTATCCTCCCAATGGATCCCTGGGCCAACCATTGCTCCCAACTACCTCGAACTCCTACCTCTTCCCCGCGAGTTGGCTTCCCCGACATAAAAGTCCCGACATAAAAAGTCGCGAGTTGCAGGATTCCAGTTGAAGATGCCAACTCAAAATACCGACTCACCTGGATGCGACACACCTGGATCTTTTGATGTCGCATCTTCCAGTCCCGACTGGTATGTCCGAAGTTCCAGTTGATGCACTCATACATGGATCTTCCAACGCAAAATGTGTGCCTTTTGGCCCGCCAAGATCTGATGTTTTTCGAGGCGCATCAGATCCGAAGTCATGGACCAAGACGAGTTGCTTCGACTGCGGTAGGTTTTGCCTTTGGATGGGAAGCCGACGGTGCGTCCATGATTGTTTGAGTCATCCCCCATGAATGATACGCTATCAAATGCCAGTTTGGGGCCATCATTCACAAGGGATGTTGGAATGATTTTGAATTTGGATTCTAAAAAACTGCTTTTCCGACTTGAGGAACCTGTCAAAACATGGGGGGCCAACATTGGGGAAGCCGATTCCACGGCTTTCCAGAGCAACCTATCCAACCGATCCAACCTATCACAGTACATCAACTCCTTCGGTCACAACTCCTTCGCATCGTTCGGACGGTGCGAATGGGTCGGTGCGAATGGGTCGTTGGGACGTCGGGGTGAGGTTTTGGGTCGCTGGAAGTGAGATTCGGCTGCTCACTGAGCCGGGCAATTGAGAAATGGAATGACAATGAGTGTAAGACATCAATTGACACTCCTTTGAATGATTGTGAGATTGATTTCCATTGGTGCAGGGAGTGGGTGCAGGGAGATCAAGATCGATCAACGTCCTATCTGGTCCTATATTATATATATAGAGTAGGCATCTATATGTAGGGCATCAACCAGATCAGATCATCACTTGCATTTTTGGATCCTCCGAGGTTTGTGGCGGACCTCGAGAGTTTCACCTTGCTCTTGGAGCCCACGGTCTTCAGTATCGCCAAAGAGCCGGTACATGAGACCCAGGTGATGCCGGGGAACGCCATGCGTGGCCATCTCGAGGTGGACCGGACACGAGTGTTTTTCCTTTTTTGCGGGGCATGACCCCGCACCTCCCCAACAAAAAGACAGGGCTGCCGGAGATGTCACTTGTGAAAGTTGTACCAATCTGAGACAACACGGAATGACTTGGTAAAAGTTAAAATTTCACATACCATCAGTTGTAGTAAGAATCGATGGGTTCTCAGTCTCCGGGCGTCGTCTTGTCTTTCCACTCGGGTGTTCGTCTCAACGAAAGATACGGAACATGCTTCAAGTGTAATGGTAAAACGGTGTATGAAGAAAAAACCTCCGACATGCCACATGCAGAGGTTTTTGCAATGCTGGCAGGGGTGATGAAACGTCTACATTCAGCCTTCTTCCCATGTGTCCAACATACGTGGGGTCACGGCAAGAGCTGTTGACCTGCGGCACGCCACCTCAGGGGCGCAAGCTAGGTTCGCTTGGGCAATGCTAGGTTCGCAAGGCAAGAAGGTGGATATCAAGGCTTCCAGGTTTGAAAGAGGAACCCTGTAACTTGTGGTTGTGACAGAACATGCAAGGACAAGGTAAACTAGCCACCAACCTGGATGACCACCCTGTAAACCCAATTTGAACACCAGGACATGCAACTTGTAACAGAAATTTCTACTGGTACAGCCGAGGTTGCACAACGTTTCTTTCATCAGCACTTGGGCAATCATTGTATGTTGGCTTTCCAATCTCACTGAAGTGGATCGTGCTGGCCGTGAGGTCGTGTTGAACGCTTGCCGCAGCTTGCCCTCCTTTTGAAAAGGGTGCCAGGTACATGAGTACATGTGTCTCACAATAGGCCATTGGTTGAAACCCAACAAACCACCTATCTCCCACCTTGAAAATCCTTGAAAAGGTTCATCATGCATCCTCCCCTTGCCTAAAACGCCCATCGATCCTGATCACCTCTGATCGATCTATCCCTGGGATTTTCTCAGGTGGGATCGATGGGCGAAGCGAACGATCTCCAACATGAGCTTTGTCGAGAAAGATCTCTCCAAGGCGAAGCCTTGGACACTCCATCCAATCTCGCGGGAAGAGTCACGGACCATGCGCCCTGTGACCTGGAGCAGGGGAGCAGGGCCGTGCGGACGTTTGGGACGGCGACGGCTGGAGTGGACTGAGTTGTTTGGGATCACCAGCATCCCAAGAGTAGTGTGAGTATATGTAATTAATTATGATTATATAACCGGCAAACGCAGTTTCGCCTCTGAACTTTGTTAAGGCGTTCAAGTATGTTCAAGTTGGCGGGGTATCTTGCTTGATTTTCAGGTAGGCAGGCCAGGTGAATCTAAATTCCTAAGCACTCGGTAGCAGAGTGATCTCTCCAGTGGGGCCGGCTGATGCCTTCCCCTATGGATAGATTTATGGCAGTGATACTTGGAAAAAAAAACAGCGGCCAGAGAGAGAGAGAGAGAGAGAGCGCGGGCGTGGGAATGTCTGAAATGTGGTGTTCAGTGTCGAAAGTTCAGAGCAGAGAGGGGGAGTTCTTAGAAACATCGAAGTCCCCAAAAGTCGTTTCATTGGATTGAACGTTTTTTCGTGTTTGTTTTCAACCCATAGGCCACCTTCATAGGCCCAGAACCCGTAAATGCCGAAGAAACAAGCACTGAGTGGGCCTTGCATGGACAAACAAAAGGTCCACCCCCGATACCCAGCGGGAGAATCTGAGCAGTGAACACCTGCGGATCGTTTGTTTGATGCAAAACCCTTCTGCCGTTGTGGCAAGACATGTCAAGTGCGAACCCCCATTCTCCAGCAAATTTCAAGCCTTGGGCACGCAACTTTCAACCGTAACCTTCCCTTTCTGACTCCTTTTGGAATTTTGTGGAACCACTAGCTAAGAATTTGTGGAAACTATGTGTTGAAGGGTAAAAAAGCGCCGTTTCCTTCATTTGGAGTGTGCATTGAAATCGGATAAGCCAGAAAGACTAACAAGGTTGGGGTTTCTTATCCTATAGTTTGTAACAAAGAGTAGGCAGCACCACGCCAATTCGTTTTAGACATCCTCAGGCGTGGGGCATCTCTGGGTTTGTTGAGCGAGTGATCAAGGATTTGCTCCATGATCATCTGGGCATGTTCACTGGGTACATAATCATCATTGGTGCCAAGGGATTCAAACTGCATGCGGATCGAACGACGCATCAAACGACTCCAGACGCCCAAAACGGTGTTGAACGACCAACGAACCCGCGCTACAACCATCGACTCTCGACATCTCTGTCTCCCTGATTCGACCCACCCAGGCTACATCAAGGCTGATTTGATGCACAACGGCAATGAGATCTTCAAGATCTCCACGCTGCTCCGTGCCATGGGCCTAAGCCTGGAGACTCATCGGGCGGCACACAATGAGACCATTCGTCATCGGGGCCTTGTGGTGATGCTGCTCATGGACATTCATAGCTATGAGTAGCTCGGTGCGATGGATGGCAGTCAAGATGAGCCGCCAAAACGAACTTAACTATGCTTTGGGAAGCCTTGAGGATGGAGCACTGGTCAAACATGTTTTGGATTTACCAATGGCACGTGATGGCGTGGCCGTAGAGACACGTCTTGGCTGTAAAAGCGGACGTTGAAGCCAGCTTGAGGCTTCAAGGCTTTTAAGCTACGTGACGTAGCTTCTTGCTCCGTTCGTAGCGATGGCCTCCAACCTAATAGCGATGGCCTCCACCTCTAGTAGCTTCTTCTTACTAGGGCCTAGGGTTGAAGTTGCCAAATGAAAACTGTGAAGAGATCCCTTTCCGAATCGACTCCCAGACACATCCGCGACGATCGGTCGGACGGTCGATGGTTTGACGTCGTGAACGGAGTCGTTCGATGGCCCCACGTGGTTTGACCACGTGGTGCCACGGTGCAGCGTGGTGCCACGGCAAAAAGGCGTCCTGCGAGATGCCTTTTGGCAGGTCCATATGGACCAACAAATCATCCAGCTGGGGAAAATGAAGCAAACCAAGGCAAGGCAAGAAAGTGACCAGACAAATTAATGACTTGCCAGATAGATTGATGCATGGTTTCGTGGGCAACAGGAATTGCACCCTTCCCCTACCAAACTGTTGTTGCCAAAGATAGTGAAGCCAAACCTGTGTCAGCTCCTGCAAATAGTAGCCAACCTTGGCACCAACACAATCCAATAGAACTCCGTGCTCCCCCCCAAAACATGTTTTCTTGCGCATGAACGTTCCCATGGAAACTCAAGCAACGTATGCGGGACTGACGATCTTTTCATCAGGTATATATTCGGGTAACGATGTTCTGCACGTCCCCTTCTCGCTGTCCTCAGGTACGGCCACGGCCTTTTGAAGGAGCCATTCTTCGTTCTGAAGCCAATTCCAGCCAACAGGTCGGAGTTTGGCAAGGAAAGAGTGCTTCCTGGACACATGGATCTGTGAGAAGGCTTTCAAACTTTTCTAGGAATTTGGTTCAGGTGCCCCTTTTGGTGGAATTTTGTCATATATAAATGTGCACATTGAGCGCTTCCAAAGCTATGTCTCATACACACAGTGAGGTAACACTGGGGCGGACACAGAGATCATCATTGATGACTATGGACTTCATTTTCTGGTCCAGCCCGGAGGCACCCTTGCACACTTCAGCTTCAACCAGTTCTTGGAGGAGGTTGGAAGCAGCAAAAGCGACAAATAAACATACAAAATACTCCGTCAGTTCGTGCCAGATCTGATCTTGAAACTTCTTGGGCCTGAAGGTAAATGGGACTTCAAGATCAATCCCCTTCAAGGTTTGGTAATTTTGGCCATTGATACCAGTCCTGTTGTTTGAGTTTGAAGGTGTTGATTATTTTGCAGACCAAGCCAGATGGTTGAGAATCTCCAAAGTCTCCTGACGGTCATATGGTGTCATGTCTCCGTTTTGAATCGGTTTGGTGACCGCACCTGGGTCCCAAATGCAGTGACCGGTGAGTTCCGCTCCAACCGGTTCCTGGTCCGGAAAAGGTGACGACGAGTCTTGCATTGCTGGCAGCCAGCGGCATCGTGGTGAAGTTCCTGGCAGTCTATCTTTTCCCTCTGGGTGGGGTCTATGATGAGGCCATGACCAAAACCAGCCCCTGACCTGCTTAAATGAACTGTGAGCTTTTGCAATTGATAATCCCCATTGAATATTCCGTTCCTGAAAAGGAACTTCTTTCAAGGGGCAATCCTACTCCCAGTTACAGTTTGGTATGAGGATGTATCTGGTATCATTAATGACGACTTTTGGGGGTATCCACTCGTCTAAAAAGCATCCATTGAGCACTCCCTCACTTGCAGAGGCAGTATGATGTTCCCAGACATTGGTAGCTGTCTTTGGTTGACTCCGGGCCTCCCAAGTACTGCATGTGTTACGATGAAAAAAACGCACAGACTTCAAAGGACCAACGTCCAACGCCGAGCTCGCTTCGGCGAAAGGAAAGGTGAAGCCGGAAGCCGAGGCCCAGACATTCATCGTGTGGAGAAGCTGATGCAGATGAGTCAAGAAGAGCTGCAGCAACAGCATCAGTCGATCTTTCCCCATCGTCGCTGCGCCGCTTTCTTTGCATGGTGACCTGATATAGGTGTTAATAAGCAAGAGAATCTGAGAATACCTGAGAATTCCATAGAATTCTCGAATGAAACGAGCTGCACACCATGTTCAATGTTTGTCTATCTAGGGACCACCTTTCGAGGTGATGTTTTGTTGTTTTATTCTGCCGAAGAAGTGAAGAATGTGCCCATCCAAGGACACCAGTGAGAAGCTGGTCCTGCGCTTGAGCCATATACAAGCAACCTCCAGCGACAGTGAATCGAACTGAAGTGTCTTTCAGCGCTGCCAGGCAGGCTGTGGGTCAATACCTAGCCAACCGTAGCTTGACAATGTTTGGTGGTCACTCGTTCTCATGTTCACTTGAATCATGTGTTCGTTTTTGATTTGTGAGTCAACTCGCATCAACTAGCTATAGCGGGCTCCCGGGTTTTGACCCACAGCCAGTTCGGTGTGCACTGGACTCGATGCCTTTGGTTTTCGGATGACCCACTGTTCTAGTCGGATGACCGACTGTTTCACCCTCCTAAGGTTGGCAAAGACATTGCTTGAATTATTAGACAAACAGAATGCTGCATGACATGCTGTTTTGTGCGCGAGCGAGGAGTAAACTCTCACGGTGCAACAGGTCTGTGACTGAACTTGACTGTGCTCGGTTTGGCTGCAGCTGTGACTGAGGAGGCCTACAAAGCTTCAATAACAGTCTTCCTGCAAAGAGCCTCCAAACAGAGGAAGTCAGGGCACGTTCTATAAGTACATGCGTCCTCACTACAGTCTACCTCAAAAACGCCAATGCCACGGATAGCTTGAGCTGGGACCAAAATTTCTACGTAAGAAAAAGCTATTCAACATTATTCAACATTTTTCCACAGATCGATGCAGAGTTCAGAATAGCACCAAATTGAACGAAGCCCCCAAAAATCACTTTCTAGACCTCAAACAATGACACACACAATGACCAACTTGTTGGTGTTCTTTCTAAGTCAATTACTGTAATTACTTCAGAAGGCTCGAACTCACAAGCCTCTACACCGGGGCCCTCAATGGATGGACGTCCAGACGCCTTTGCCACCAACGTGTCGTTCTGAAGTGGCCCCACCGACCGAGAAGTGACATATTGCACCCTTCAAACAAGGACATGGAACATGACCCTGCATAATGAGTACTGTAGTGTACATATTCTACTTTGGGCATTTTGGTACCCCAGTGTTCCAACAAAGGGATCCTCTGCTCCCTTCGTTTCCTTTTCGATCCCTTTCGGATTCCAAAGCTGAAATGCGTGCGCATGATCAGCGCATTCAGTTTGCCATGGAGCGAAGGGAGGATGCCATTGAGTCCTACAAGCGGAACGATCTGATCGGCGCTGATGAAGCCTATGGCGAGGTGATCCAAATGGTCACCCTGCTCGAGGAATTTCGATGTGTTTGGCGTGGGGGACGGTTTGAGGGTTTTTTGGGGAACATGTTGGGAGATGTGCCCCAAATGTAGATAAATGAAATATAGCGTCTCACCCCACCATTGTGGAACAACTTATTTTTACCAACCAGCGGGGGCTGATGGTGACTTGGTATCTATGTGAACTGGTTGTGAAGGGATTGCTGGTCCACGATTTCCTTTCTCTAATCCGCCCAAGAGAGACACTCTTGTGATATGTTTTTCTATATATACTTGTGACAGGTTGTACAATGTACAAGGGGTGTGCTTTGCTTATGGCCAAGTGGTTCCAAAAGCAAGACCCGAAAATTATGCACAGTGTTGTTCCTGTTGCCTTCATTGGTTTGAGGGGGATTGATACATCCAAAAAGCCATCAGTTCCATTTAGAAGTCTCCGACAGTAGGCCAGAGCATCGACAGTTCGGTGGTTTTGGTGCTTTGTTTTGATGGGTTGGTTTTGGTAAACAGCCCTTCATCTGGTCAACGGGTCATCGAAGCAGTCGAAACCGTCCGAAACGGTCACGTTCCATGAGTTAGTTGGTCCGGTGGTTGGGTCACGAAGGTCACGGAGGTGGTGTGTAGAGGTTTGATCGGAGTTTACATTGGAGGGCAAGTGTTCCATGCCATCGAAACAGAGGCAGGATCCAACGTCTTTTTTCATTCGGTGATTGCGAAAATGACACGTTGGTGACCGTTGGTTCTTGGGTGACCATGCCAGCATGCCTGCTTGGAAAGCACCTGATTTCTGCCAACAGACTGTGATACGGGATACGCGTTTAAAGATGAGTTGGGAAAGTATACTTGATGACTTCCTTTTATCACTTATTCATGCGTTGAGGATCTTCCCGTCCAACTTTCAGGTTGAGAAGCCCCAAGCACACGGACGTCCGCGATCCATTTCTGGGCAAGACAGGGAGGAGCAGTTGCTGGCGGATTGCCTCTCCAACCGTGCGCAGTGCATTTTAGATATGGCGCAGGGCAAAGGTGTGCTTCCGGACGGGACGCCTTTCTCTTCACAGTTTCACGAGAAGGACCTGGAGTTCTGTGGGGATGAAGGGAAACCGGGAGATTTGTGGGATGGGCGGAAGTCCCCAAGACCAATTTTGAATGGATTCCGTACTTGGAAACACGACATCCAGAAAAAAGAATAGAACGGTAATCAATTACACTCCGACTCTCTACCATGGAAGTGGAACATTGGCCCTTGGAAGACCATGTTCCTTTCGAAACACATGGTTTTCCACTTCCATGTTAGTGAGCCGATGACCGTATATCTACAAAACACACTGGACCCATGGTGTTTTCCACCCTCCGGCGGAGGCCGCGGTCGCCAGGAACATTTCGAGTATTTCAAGCGCCAAGCCTTGAAGCAGGCGGAAGAATGTGCTGAGAAGGCCTGCCTCGTCTGGTGCGATGATCGGAGCCTCTACCGCCTGGGCTTGGCTCGGAAGCTCACCGCGGAGTCGGCCAAGGCCGAAACCTTTTTGGTGCTGAAGGAGGCCACCCACCGGCGAGTCCGTGACGGGTGGACCTTGGGAACAACTGTGACTCTGGGGCCGTTGCTGGGAGAAAACAATTGGCGTCGGGACTATCTGAAAGTAGTCTGAGTCGAGTGGGAAAGGGAAGATATTGCCAACACAGCCCATGGGGGGCATATTTACTTATATTGGGGTGGTTTCAGGGGTGAATGTTGGTTTAAAAGAAATCCATACATGGAGTGTTTGGGTTATGCTCAGCGGGAGAATGACGATATTTTCTCAGAAGAGAACCTTACCTTTCTGCTAAGCTGCGCTACCCCAATGTGCACGATATGGTAGAAGGAGTTGAATTTTTTCAGCGATCCAAGCGCGTTCGAGCAGTGACTTGTGGCCGTTGTTTTTGCGATGGCTGAAACAGCCAATGGGTAAAGTACCTTCGAGTACCTTAGCGAGAGTTGGATATCATCTTGTTCTTTTTCAGTGTCTACTGCGGACAGGCTTCCAGGTACTTGACTCACAGCCGGATGCTTGTTGGCGTGTCTTCCACTGTGACATCTGAGCTGCAGGACAGTAACGAGATCATGAAAGATGCTGGCAGGTGCTTTCTGCAACTCATCCCAAGTCACAACGCTGTTTTGAACTAGTGGGATTTGCAGTTCTGCTCAAGCACCCTGCCTCCAAGAAACACTGGCAACCATGTAATCTTCCAAGGGGCCGTTACTATGTACTCGTATGTTGGATACAGGATGATGATACAGGTAAATTTGGGCAAACGATGAATTCGTGTGTTTCCGTGTCCGTCCGTCGCCTGAGGAAAGCACTCAGGGCGCGGCCAAACGCTCAAACACAGAAGGCGCTGGATGAGGTGAAAGATTGGCTCGCGCGGCGGGATGTCTTTAGCCTCTACCCAGAGTACGTTTGAGTCCGTTCAAGCGGCATCTGATGAAGACTGCCTCGCATCTTCGCTATCATTTGCTATCCTCAAGCCTGTGAGACATTGCAGAGTCAGATTGTTCTCTTTCAGCAACAGGTATCCCAAAGACCTAGAGTCCGCAGACGAAAAACAGTGAGTGCATGCAGCATGCACAGTGAAAGTGTGATTGGAGGACTCCTTCACCTTGACCCCTCGTGCTTGGTGGCCAATGGCCAATGGCGGGGTTCACTTCACATGCACACGGATTCCTCAATTCTAATTCTCCGGAATGGTACTAAAAGCTGCAAGCAGTAGATTCATTTGGCGAGTCAGCTGTCCAATGCAGCAGGCAAATGAAGTGACACGTCATCATTTGTTGCCACCAGCAGGCAACAAACGTCCAATCATTTCTAAAAGTATGAATCTTTGTTCTGCGTTCGTGCATTCCTGAAATGCATGTGTTCTGATATTTCTTTCCATATCTTTCCAGCGGTTTTCAAAAATGTATTTTGTGTGTGTTCATCAACTAATCTCATGGAAGGATCCATGAAGACATTTTAGATGGAACACCAATAGAATTATATATATATATATAACCAGTGGCTTCCTGTTAGTAGTAGCGATGGCCTCCACCTAATAGCATCCTATATCCTATATATATAATATGTGCATAGTTATTATTGATCAGATGTAGCACCAGTTACATGTACATGATATAGCTTGTATAGATGTATGTTTCACTGCAGCCGTTTGTTCAATCCGTTTGTTCGAGTTTGAGCTAAAAGTGGGCCTAAGCTTCTACTCCAACCTTTGGGACAGTG